GCTTTCAGTGCTTGAAAATCAACGTTGGATGGCGAGACAAAACTGTCCGAGTCGTGACGTGTGAGATGTCACCGCGCCTGAAGATCACTGAGCAAGGTCGAAACTTGTAATTCATTTTGTATGTGACGTGAAAACAGTTTAATTACTGCATCGGCTATTGTCTGTTATCTGTAGTAGGGCACGCGGTAGCGTAGTCGGTTGAGGCACTATACTACAGGCCGGAAGGGCGCGGGTTCGATTTCTGATGAGGTCATTGAATTTTTCAGTTGACCTAATCCTTCCAGCCGCAGTATGGCCCTGGGGTCGACTCAGCCTCTAACAGAAATGAGTACCAGGAATCTTCGTATAGGTAAAGGAAGGTCGGCGAGTAAGTCTGATAACCTCACCGCCATATGTGAGCCGATTGTCTAGAAAATGTTGGAGCCTCGACGTCTCACAAGCCTATGGGCCTCCACGGCCTGTTACAGGGCTAGCTTTACCTTTTTGCCTTTAACTGTTCCTGTACTCCCTTACTTCAGGCGCTGAGGAAATTCACGTAAAGTCTCAGTCGGGATGGTAAATGATGTGGCCGAGATACGAACCGGGTACCTACCCATGCAACGGTAGTACTCGGGTCCGACGCTGTGGTGCCGCTGCAGACCGCAGCCTGACATTGACCAGCTGTCCAGAGGGGGGACTGTTGAACCTTCATCTTTGCTTTCCCGGCTTCTTCTGTTCTGATGGGCCGGTTCCAATTCGCGATAGGTAACGAAGTTCTGTCTTCTGGCGACAGGAAGTCCCTGCAACACCGATCGGGCTGGCATAGCCCTCATAATTTATAGTCATGTTCTGTAAGTACACGGTTTGAATCTCCGCCGGGACGTCAGCTATCCTCTTTTGAGATTTTTCGTGATTTTCCTCACTTCCTCTTGGCAAACGCTGGAATATCGCGATCTGACCACACCGACTCCTTTCAAATCCTTTGCAGTTCATCAGTCAGCGACATGCAACAACAGACAGAAAGAAGCGGTGTGGAACTAACTGTAAGGCCTCTACCTACGTCAATGCCCATTTCCAGGCTTAAGCTAGTAAGAGCCTCGATAGCTCAGTAGTGAATAGGCTATGGTATGGGCGCTCGAGGAATCTCGGTTCAATTCCTGGAAGGAGAAATATATTTTTGACTTCCCTACAGCGTTCACGCCGTGGCTGAGCCCCCGCCCCCACAGCCCCCTATACAATGGCTGTCAGGAATCAGGGCGTGAAAGTGACCACTGTCGCGGTAGGTATGCGTGTAGCTACACCACCGCTCCCCGATACGCCCTCATGGCGTGGCAGTTAATTATTTAAGCACAGGAACAACTTTACATTATCCAGTTAACTACACTACCATTCGCTTTTCGTAGAGTATTGCTTCATGTTGAGCAGCACGGCGCGCATGAGCAGTGATAGAATCTGTTTGAACAATCAATAAGACTCATGTCATGAATTCGCCATCTTGTGCTTCACCTTTGAGCCCCATGTAAGTGGACATGCATGTAAATGGAAGGTCAGTCTCTTTGTGATATCTTAGAGTTTGCCAAAGGGTCCGGGAGGGCGGAGAGACAGAGAAAGGTTGTGTGCAGGCGGGTTGTCAGGCCGCCACTGCGCACAGGTCAGCTCGCCGTCTGTCCTCTATAAAGGCGCGTTGCCGCGGCGCGCGACCGTCAGTTGCTTCTGCGGGACCCAGCGCTCAGTAAGTAATCAGTGGCGTGCTGTACTTCAGCCATTGACAAGTCTGAACCAGTTTAGTCACAAAACTGTGTACCAGCAATTTCTTTTTGTAATTACAAATATGTTTTACTGTGTTATGTACGATAGTGCTCTTGAGTAGCAGCAGTGAACAGTTTGGTAGTGTCTGGTATGAAACGTGATCTGCGAATAGCAATAATAATAATAATAATAATAATAATAATAATAATATATAATAGTCATAGAAAAGTAAATGCTGGTACTGACATGGATGTGAGGTATTTGAGTCACTAGGATGTCAGTTGGATTGAACTGGCCTCCAGCCGTCTGCTCACTTAGTATGTTGGACCTTTGCATCATAATACCAGAGCGTAATATTTCACGGGCTGTCCGCATCTAAAATTGTGAGGTATCAAGTGAGAAGTGCGATTTCATAAGTAATGAATTGGAAAGGATGTGAAAGGAAGCGGTAGCCGCCCCATTTCACGCAGTATCGCGGCACTTATCTGGGGGACAGGAAAACCACGAAAAACCAGTCAGGATAGTCGGTGTAGTGGCCGAGATTTGAACCGGGCACTTCCCCGATACCAGTCTGGAGCCTTTATTTGGCTAATGGTGCTTAAGGCAGTTGTAATATTATTGTTATTATTATTATTATTATTTGCTTAGTTTGGTACTACTCATTGAAAACGTGTGAGAGAGTGCAGGCTTAACTCCACGCGTTCGAAACATAGAAACTAGATGGAGGTGAGTGGTCAGCTTCACTGCATGCTACACAGAAGAGAAAGATCTGTTGTACTGCTGGGAATCGAACCCCGATTCTTCTGTCCTCCAGCGCGTCTGAAATATTGCGGCTTCTAGTCTTATCATTATTCAGGACGACTGTGCGTGTATTCCGCTTCACGCCACGGCCGTTTTATCCCCAGGGAAACAGCCCGCGGTACCCTTTGTGAACGAGGCTGGGTGGACCCCAGGGCCATTCTGGACTCTGTGAAGAAGAGACAAATCTGTTGCCCCTGCCTGGAATCGAGCCTCAGTCCGTCACTATGTCGAATGAGCTCTCCCGGCTACTTAGTTTGCTTTCAGCGTTGGTAGCCCAGCTGGGAGAGTTAGGAGAAGAGAAAGTGTGGAACCATTTCCTTCAGTTATTTCTTACTTCAGATCAAAATAGCCCCAGGTACACTTTGTGTTGTGAACTGCATTTCGAAACCTACCGTAGCACAGCAGTTTACCTCTCCGGTTGGAGTTTCTGAGAATGCCGGTACAGTAAACGACTGTGTTATCATGTTTACAGGCAAGTTTGCCCCTTTACCGCACAGTGGTTACTATATGTACCACCTACTTAAAGAGACACGCGCTAGCGTAGTTAGTTGAGGCACTATGATATAAGCCGGAAGGTCGCGGGTTCAAGTCCCGCTGAGGTCGTTGGATTTTTTCAATTGACCTAATCCTTCCGGCCGCGCTGTACCCCTGGGGTCAACTCAGCCTCTAAAGGAAATGTGTACCAGGAATATTCATGGGGGTAAAGGGCGGCCGGCGCGTAGGGCTGACAACCTTGCCGCCAGCTGTGAACCGGTTATGTAGGAAATATGGGAGCCTCAACGTCTCACAACCCTATGGGCCTCCACGGCCTGTTACAGGGGTACCTTTACTTTTTTACTTTACCACCTACTTTTTAACAAACAAATAGAGCACTGTTGATTTTTATCACGCAGCATTATCTGTGTGTTCCGTACGGTTCTCACAGCAAAGAGTGACTGTTTCCCCAAACAGCAGTAACCGGTTGGGCTCTGTAGTGGTGACGTAGTGGAACTGGATTTTTGTCGTTTGGATGGATTTAATGCTTCTTTACAAGAAACTTCACTTCCTGATGCTTTACCTTGTTCACTTCCGAATGTTTTACCTTCTCTCCAACATACCCTTTCCAGGAGGAAACACAAATATTGCTTGGGAACTTTCAAATCCGGAAAATTGCCTGTCCTGTAGTGTCTTTCATCACTCCCCCCTCCCCCCATTCCACCTTCTCTTTTTTCGTGCTTCGGGGACCGTGAACAGAAATCAAGTTGCCTCTTCTGCGCATGTGTGACGGCAGTCTTAGGTCAATCGGCTGTTGACACTGTTCTGAACAGATGGACATTTTATTAAAGGGTTTCCACTCTAGGAACCAAGAGACGTTATATCTTGCGTAGGCAAAGTTACGGCGGGGGAGGGGGGGGGCTGAATTCCACGCCTGCTCATGGATGCAGATATATACGTGTATGTTTAAAATAGAATCTCATAACTTTGCAATAACAGCATGACTGTCTACGTCACGAAATGACAATGACGCTTCTTCGTCATTACTATGAATGGAGTACAGAACTGTGGCATGCAGACCCGTTGCTGGGCAACGACCGCGAGATAAGAAAATATACATCAGCCGTTACTTAGTAATGGCTTCGCAAACAAGCGTGTTTCCAAGGCAGTAATTGGATACAGTAACAGAAGAACGGGATTTTCTATGCGGTCCGTGCCGAAATGTTATGAGTAGGACAGTTAGTGAAGTGAAGCCAGTCAGTGAAGTTAGGGAAGAGAGCTGGGTGGTGAGTTAGAGGACTGCTGCGGTTCAGTCCTAGCGAGCCGTTGCTGTTACAAGCTGGTACCTGAGGCACGGGATAGTTCGGGAACCCAGAGGAAGGGGAACATCCGCCGTTGGAAGCCGCTACCAGGCAACGGCCAGTGAAGTCTGAGAAGACTTTATGTGTGCTCTAGTTACAGTGATCTTTGGAGTGTGTAACTCAGTGAGACTCTCGTAGTTATTCGCAGTTACGTTCTGTAAGTGTTCAGTAAATCCGATTACCAATCCAAACCCCGTCTATAGTTGCACGAAGACACGTTAAAATATGATTAAATAAGGAAGTTTGAGGTGGACATGGACATGTAGCATGCATTGGAAGGCAGATATTACTGCTAAACTCTGAAATATACGCCTGTATCCAGTTTGTGTACAGATGCTCTCAACACTGAAGAAGCAGACTTTGTTATGAGACGAAGGAGGCGTGAAATCGTTCGGAGTGGAGCTCGCCGGGCGGGATCTCGGCTGGCCGAGGCGCCTTGCCCCTTGCACGGCAGACCCGGGAACAGGCATACCGACCGCCTGTATAAATAGGCCCGCATTTGGCACATGGCGTTGCCAGGAAACGCGGACTTTACGCAACAAAAGCATTCCACTGTTTTGACAGCAAGTTCGCGGAAGAAGATTTCCGGTCTGTGTAAGAGGCTGGTGGTAGCCATGATGTAACCGCTCGCTGCCTCCGACACAGTAGAATGCAGTGAAACATCCGACCCAACGGCCCCGCCGACTCCAGTTTCAGGCCCCTTCTTGTGGGCTGTGGGCTGTTTAACTGCCTGCACTGCATACAGCAAACCATCGCTAATCCGGTTACAGCTAACCCGGTTCGAAATATGAAAAACGCTGTTCACAGGTGAGTACATGCTTGGCATTTGTGAAGGCAGATGAGTCGCTTGTCTGTTCAGACAAAACTTGACGGTTTCTGCAAATCTGCATCATTACGTTCAGAAACAAGTACAGCTTCTGGGTCTTCTACCGGTGAACAAATGCATTGTCGTTTTATGGTTTCTAAATAAAGGCTCTAGAGTGATATTTTGTTATTTATTTTCATCAGCACTGCTTATATCGCTACATTCTAAATTTATTTGCGTTCTGAGTTTTTTTACTTTTTGGGCTAACTTTTGCTTCACTAATCCGGATTACCTCTCCCACCCCATTACGCCGGATTATCGAGGGTTTACTGTAGCATCGACTGGTAGGATGACTGACGGACAGTCGATTGCAAAGGATTTGAAAGGAAACGGCCTTACCCTAATCGAGGTACTTTTCCGGAATTTGCCTGGAGGGCCTGAGGAAAAGTACACAATTCCTCGGTCAGTGTCTCCGGTGTCGCGGCCGACATTCGAACCTCTACGCTAACCTGCTCAGTAGACAGGCTGTGAAGCGCACCAGATCAGGGTTATATATTCTGAAGCGTGTGACGGCGAACTTGCCCTGTGCCCCTGCCGCTGGTGTTACTGCGAAGTAGTCACGGGTCGGCTGCCCCGCCACGCGTCTCAGCCTTATCGACCTCTGGAGGCGGATGCGATGATAATGCAGCTAAAGATAGCTCGCGAGTCGGCCATGTTGCATTGCAGAGTCCACTCCGACTGAACCTTCGGAACCCTGTTGGCGCGCCTGCTTCCTGTTCTTGAAACCAGAGACCGGCTGCCCTGCAATGTTCGTGATTCTCCTCAGTCGGTATAGGGTTACACGACTGCTTCCTTCCATATCCTTTCCAATTCATTATTCACTGATTTTCAGTTGACGCAGTATAAGTTGAGCCACTGGCGGTGTCGTTAAGTAGATACATTCAAGGTCCGGGCGAAATGCGGGACCGCTTCCTTTAAAATCTTTATCATAATCACCTTCCCGTATTATTCGGCACTATAAGCGGTATACCCTCTGGAACAGCGTCGTTAAACAAGCCAACAGCCAACTATAAATTGGGCTTTGAAGCTCTTGTAACGTTGTCTGTGAAGAGCGATGTGACGCCGTGTAATCTGGTAGATGCATACCGATGTTTCGGGGGAAATGCTGCCTCCATCTTCAGTTTCGGAGAGTTAGCCAGCAGGCATGCATGGAGGATATTTGCCGAGTTCCCGCTCTGTATCTCGCTTCTTGCAGTTTACTCCCAGTGTTTTCCGTGATTTTCTATGGAATTGTTGATATGTGTCCCGGGTGACGAAGTGCCGTACAGTTGGTACACTGACATCGGCCGGCCGGTGCGGCATGTCGCTCCCACGGTTCAAGGTTTCTCTCACCAGACGGCGTTATCTCGCCTCGTGGCACGCGCCGTTCATTTGTTTATTTATGACAGGCTGCACAGCGAGTGGAGAGCTCATGTTCTGATTAGCGGTATCTGCTTTCACATGTTCTGGATGGGTGTGGAACTTGGTCCCTCGCCTTAAAAGAGGGGAATGTTTGGACTTGTGACAGGGGGATATAATGAGGAGCTTCACAATTCGTTTCGATGCCAGATATTATTAGAATGGACGGGCGGGCATACAGGGTTCAGGCAGGAAAACCTGAAGGAAACAGACAACTAGGAAGACCTGGTCATAGATGTGAGGATAGTATGAAAAATAGATCTTAGAGAAATAGGATTGGGTGTGTGGATTGGATTTATCTGGCTCAGGATGGGGACCAATGGCGGGGCTCTTGTGAACGCGCTAATAAACTTTCAGGTTCTATAAAATGCTGGGAATTTCTTGAGAGGATGAACAACTGTCGGTTTCTCGAGGAGCACATTGGAGTGTTAATGCGATGTGATGATACCGGGGCTGTTGGGTGGGGGGGAGCACTGCAGGCGAAGAACGGCCTCGGAACTCAATAATCCGTTACAAAATGGCGTAGTGTGACGTCATCAGGAGCCGCGCCCCCGTGGCCTTGCGGGACTGTGACGCAAGGCTGCAGTTTTTGTAACAATGGAAATGTGGTTGCTAGGCGACGGGGATATGTGTTTGGAGGGAAAAGGGCGAAAACACAAAAATACCTAAACTAGGCAGTTTTCTTGGACAAACGCATGTCTGTCCAACTGTACGTTTCGTGTTGATGGATTGTGCCTAAATCCATGCTAGTATCATCCACTGCTCTAGACTATTCACACGGAGAGAATTGCGTCATGAGGAGATTAATAATTTGAACTCTTCACTCGGTCTGTATAGCGAGGGGCTATGGGCTGGACATCCAGGAAACGGGTCTCGAGGCAAGACATAGTTCCCTTCTCCACAGAGTGCATATCAAGTCTGGGGTCCACCCAGCCTCCTGTCGAATGGGCGCTATTGTCTCTTTTCCTTGGGGTGAAACGACCGGGGCGTGAATTTGACCACTCAACTCCATCTATTGCCGACGTTAAGAATGCATGGATCTGTACCTCCGTTCCTTCGTATGTCTTCGTGGCTTTGTGCTTAATTAAGGACAGGGATAACTTCACGTTTTACTACACATTGTTAGAATGATCAGCTCAAGGAACGTGAGCTAGGCTGGTCATGTAAGATGTGAGATAAGAAGTATGTACAAAGTTTTGTTCGGAAATCTTGAGAGGAGTTCGCTTCTGTGGCCTTGGCGTGGATTTGAAGATAACATTAAAATGGATCTTGATGAAAGAGGCTGGATGTGTGTAGACTGGATTCAACTGGCTCAGGATAGAGGCCAGTGATGGGTCATGGTGTCACAGTATGCGGGCGATTTCTTGACCAGTTGAGTGACTGTCAGCTGTTCCATGGACCTAGTTATGTGTTACGTGGAGGGGGGTCTTTTTGTACCGTCCCGAAAGGTGCGAGGTGGGAGCACAGCTAACTCACAATAGAATCACAATATCCAGCGTTGAAATTAATTCAAAATGAAGGTTTCAAGAAGCTTTTCTAAATAAGCACTTCTCATAAAAATGACGACAGAGAGACTGTTGTTGGCAGACCCACCTAGCGGCAGAATGAGTGCGCTGTTACGTCCTCGTTGCGTAGAGAGAGGAGACGCGATGCACAAAACGTTTCAGTATTCAGTGCAATTCATGTTTTAAGTCTCATTAGGTTTTGTGGTTATCATATTTACTGATGTTACTGTAGTTCGCTGTAGATGTGGATAAAGCTCTTGGGGTCTTTGCACTTTGGACATCTGCCCCCTCGCCCTTCCTCCATTGGTTTATTTGAGCAAAACATATATACACTACTGACTTCGACCTTGAATACGGAGGCAGCATGTGCCTCCGAAGCGACGGCAACATGAACACATCTCCGNGCTGACGTATCTTCATTGATCTGAATCGGGAGCCCAGACCGGCCTTCCCGCCCCGACAGTACGGAGGCTGCGTCTCGCAGCCGGCGCCGCTGCAGTCCTCCCATGCTCTTCACTTACTGATACTGGTGGGGCGTTCTTTATGCATAAAGTGAACACATGATGAGGAGGCCAATTGTTCTGTCCTCATGCTTCAGATTTCGACACTGCGTTTGCGCGATTTAACTTTTTCGCTTCATTGCATGGATAACTGTTCGATTCCCGGCACGGACGGCGGGTTCTGGGGCCCATCAAGTCTTCATGCCCAGTGGGTGTCCGGGGCGGGGAGCTTTTCCCCAAGGTGACCACTCACCTCCATCTAGTGCCGAGGTTAAGAATCCCTGTTCCTACACCTCCACTCCCTCATAGGTCTCTATGGAGTGGTGCTTAATTAATTACAGAGACAACTTTACCTTCAGTGCGATAATTATGTTCCCTCGGCCGTGTAATTTTGTGTTGTGTTGTCGTTCCTGCCGAAGCGGTTGTGTGCATCTGCAGCAGATGAACCGATGCAGAATGTGGACGTACCCCTGGAGTGGGTCTTCCTGCCGGGTTTCCCTCAGGCGTTGAATGGCAGGCGAAAAAAGTAAACAACGTTCGGCGCCGTTCTTGGACGGCAACTTCTCTGGCACCGGTGTGAGGAACATAGCCTGACATGCAGGCGATATCCGTTCTCCATCGCCCATAAATTTTCGCTGCCTGAGTTTTATAAAATAGCTGGATAGATTGTATAATAAATTGGAGAAATAAATAAAAAAAAAGTTTTATAAATTAACTTCGGCTTTCAGGAATGAGCCGCCGGATATTTTGAGGGGTTTCCTGACCATCTGCCCTCTAGAAACGTTATTTCATCACCACTTTTTCTCAACCACGTGGTCGCCCCCTGTTGTATATTGCACCGCAATCCGCAGTTTCACTCCATCACGGATCCATATCCCACTGCCACACGTGGGAAACCTTCCCACGCTTCTGAAACCTTCCCAAAGACTTTCGCCCTGAAGATGATAGCAATAAAAATTATTTCCGAAACGCTGGAAAACTTTCAACGTTCCCTGCAGCTTATTCTCGAAGCCGGGACTTATACTTTTTTTTTGTTCCTGTGATTTTTATGTTTTTTTAACGATGCTGTCAGTAACTGGACTAGCGTCGTCGTCGTCGTCGTCGTCGTCGTCAATGGCTCTACAGCCCTTTGTTGGGCCTGGTCTCTTCCTCAGTTCCGTAATCTTTTTTACAAAGACGGCAGGACTCTTTGGAGTAGTGATCAGCCGCTACCTAACACAAACACAGAATGAACACAGACCATGCCTTGAGTGGGATTCGAACCCACGATCCCAGTGTTCGAGCGAGCCACTGTGAGCGGCAGCTGGACTATACGGCGCCGAATTTTAAGGTGACTGATGAATGATTTTAAAAGATTTTGAAGGCGGTGGTCTCGGTCTGATTGAGGGGGTTTCCCGGCATTTGCCTGGAATGGCTGAGTAAAACCACGAAACACCCCAATCTGTATGGATAGTGTCCCGGCCGAGATTCGAAGGAAGGACCTCCCGAAGTTACGGTTACGCCACCCGCTGAGTGTTGTGAGTCGCAGAGACGACGCGGCGCAGTGCAGGTCTGACGTATGGAGGAGTGGTGAAATCCTGGCCCCAGAACTTGCACTTGGGGCCAGAAGTACGTGACGTAACCACACACGTACGAGTATTTATGGACACGGGTGGTTCTGTTTTGAATTATTTTCGTGTGAACATTTCACAATTTCGCCAGAGACGCGTCTGTGAAATGAAGCGACGTCCCGTGTGCCTGCCGTCTTGCTGCTTCCGTAGCGGAAACTCGCGGCACTGCGAATGTTACGTCCGTTCTATCTGTCCGGACGCTTGTAACAAGTCGCGGACCGCTTAACCAATTTTCGTGAAATTTGTAATTTATAAGGTTTGGTGAAATATGGCGACACATCCCATTTCTGTCAATCGGACAACAATACCAGACCCTTCTGCATGTATCTCGCCAAACATATATCTGAGAGAAAAATATCCGGAGCACAGGCTGTAGAAGAAAGCGAAACGCGCGCTTTTCCCGTGCTCCTTACAGGTTTAGAGTTAATTACACAGAAACGAGCGCACATTTCAGTCATCAGTGGCCATAAAGAGTGCCATTTCTGGGATGTGACTCCGTGTATTCTGGTAGAAGTTCACACACTATTCGGAGAAACCTACATCGTCCATCTTCAGGGTCGAAGGGTGAACCAGACATGAAAACAGAGGAAAGTAGACAGTAACCACCGCCTTGCTGCTTCCCATGAAGATGGGGACAGAAGTTTCTTCGAAACGTCACAACTACTTTTACCAGACAACACGGCCTCACATCCCGGAAGACAGTAGTGTTCTTTATTAGGTAACTTTTTTCGGTTATTAAATGTGAGTACCAAAATTTCAAGTTTCCCCGGGGATAAAGCGGCAGAAACGTGAAGCTAATTACTCACCCCAATCCAGTGCCGATGTTAAGAATAATGGAGCTATACCTCCACTTTCCCATGCGTTTTCATGGTGTGGTGCTTAATTAATTGCACCCAGATATAAGTTGGAAGGTCGCAGGTTCGATTCCCGTTGAAGTCATTGGAATTTATAATTCAGCTAAACCTTCCAGCCGCACTATGACCCTGGAGTTGACTCAGCCTTTAACAGAAGTGAGTACCAGGAATCTTTGTGGGGGGTAAAAAGTGGCCGACCGGTGTGTAAGGCTGGCAACCTCACGGCCATCTGTGAGCCGACTGTCTAGAAAATGTGGGAGCTTCTACGTCTCACATCCCCATGGGCCTCCACAGGTTGTCACAAGGATAGCTTTACCTTTTCTCTTACTGGAACTTGCATTGCTTCCACAAGAGCAGGAACAGTCGGAAGGTATATGAAAACTTTTGTGAAGCACCTGTGAGGGCAGATCATATCTTGAGCAGTGAGAAACGTGCTCTGCATGGAGCGAAATCTCTGATAACACGATTTTGGTTAGCATGATAAGTTTCAAACAGAATGTAGTAAGTTTCCTGTGTAGACATAATGATGTGTGTCACTGTCTGGCGATGACATACACAGAACAGTGGCTGTGCTGTTTGTGCAGGAGCATGGTCTGGCAGCAAAGTCCCCTGCCCCATCTGTCGAGTGGTTTGTGGAACAGCCCCGAGTCCTGGGTCGTGCTCAGTCTGAAGTGCACCTTCACTGAAGTCTTCAGAGAACTGCGCTGCTAGTGTGTTTGTCCATTGGGCACTGCCACTCACTTCAGCGGCTTCCCGCTCCATTCTGGTAAGCGTGTTTCCTATCATTTCACCCGGCCCCCTTTCTTCTAACATCCGCCTTCTTTTAGCCTCCCCTCTATGTCTAGATTTTCCTCGTGGTTCCCTCCCCTCCTGTCCTTCTACCAGATTTTTGTATGCCTTTCTCTTCTGTACCATGTGTGCTACCTATCCCACCCATCTCATCTGTCTGATTTCACCATTGTGATTAAACTTAGTGAAGAGCACAAGGTGTGAAGCTCCTCGTTGTGTAGTTTTCTCCAACCTCCTGTCACTTCCACCCTCTTAGATCCAAGTATTCTCCTCAGCACCCTGTTCTGAGACACCCTTACTGTGTGTTCTTCAGTCAATGTGAGAGACCTAGTTTCACACTCATACAGAACAACAGGCAGTATTACAGTTCTTTATATTTTAATGTTTATAACAAACAGGGAGACAGAACTGAACTGAATGATGGCTAGCATCCCCGAACTGAATCTGGTCTTGAAGCATCTGCATGACTCTCAGCAAGGTTGCGTCTGTGTTTAGGGACCTGGCCTCTGGCCTCCTCAGAAGAGGCATAGCTAGAAGTAGTAGTGCAGTGGTTGCAGCTGCACTGTGGGAGGGACCGGAGGGGATGATGGGTTGTGATGAAGGTTCTGCTACATCCCATACACACCCTGCAACCCACTGTGCAGTCACCAGACTTGACCAGTTCAGCTGTGCATTCTGTTGAGAACGACCAGGTCTGATAGCTCAGACAGTAGATGGTTACCACTGTTTCACAAGAAACTAGTGTGTTCATCTTCAAGGTGAAGGAAGCAGATTCCTGTAAAACATTAGCAATTTCCTATCAGAGTGCGCAGCTTTGTCATACTGGGGCTGTAGAAACAAGTCCTATGTATTGACACCCTCCACTTCCTCTGAGCATACTCACCCATATCGCCTTGCAGTAACCTTACTGTGCTCGTCACGTGAATGTTGGTACTGACAACCTTGTGATAATCTTTGTTAATGAGAAGCTGTTTGATCTGCTGTTTGACAGACCAGAAAGGTCCCTGGCCAGGAACGCCCCGGCCAGGAACTTTTCCATCAGGAGGCAGCCTGAAAATCTGTGTACCGAATTGTGTTTAAGCCCTTTAAGGATATTTCTACTGGTTGCTCCAAAGTTCTGGGTCCCTGTGCTGAAACATGAATTTAATTTTTGTATTTTTCACCCAATTTTCCTATTTTTTAAAATAAATCCTGGGGATGGGAGATGCCTGGGTCCCTTCCCCCCACAAGCACCCATGACCCTAGGGGAATACAACAGTAGGGAGGGAGGGAGGGAGGGAGGGAGAGGTCTCGAGGGCTGTTGTCCCCATGATCCATGAGCTCAGCACAGACAAGTGTGGGACAGATGTGTGAAGTGATTGCGAAGTTTGTGGGAATTGCTGGTGCAGAAGCAGTGGTCCTCATACCCATGTGGGTCCCCCCAGAAAGAAAAGCAATTGCATATGTGCCATATTGTTGCAGTTGCTGACGTCATCATGAAGCTGACTGATTCGGACACACCACTCGCAATCAAATTGCTCACAGCCGGCACTGCTGGATGCATTGCAGACTTTGCCTCCTTCCCACTCGACACTGCTAAAGTTCGTCTGCAAGTAAGTCCATGTCTCTCGATCCACAGTTGCATGTTCAGCTGTTCAATTTCATGACCAGCTGAATTTTGTAGTTAATTCGGTAATTATTTGCTGCAGTGTTTTTCAACCTGTGCCCTGCGACATGAGTTTCACCCTTTAAAGAAAAGTGGTTACTGTGTGTACCACCTGGTTTAACTTATGAAAAATCTGCGTTCTGCCCACAGTGTGTCTGTGTGTTTCATATGGTTCTCACAGTCAGTTGACTGTATTGTCTTCTTTCACAGTTGCCATTTCTAATTTTAGTATCTTATTTGTCAGTCACCATTTCCCAATTTTTACTTACACCCAAATGCTAGTCTGTTAAATTTTTCTATGAACTGTAAGGCACATTACAGGAAAATATATATGTTGTTATACAAGATGCTCTTCCCTTCGGTACCTAGGTCTTCTAAGTAGTGCTCTCCTTCAAGTTTTTTCTGGGGGTGGGGCCAGAACTTTGCATGCTTTTCTCTTCTCTGATATCATGCTACATGCCTGGCCAGTCTTACGCTCCTTGGTTTAATCGTCCTAACAATATTTAATGAATTTAATTAATTTTGAAGCTCCTCGTTAGCATTGTTCTTCATTCTCCTGTGACAGGTACTGCTTCAGCGTTCTGCAGAGAGCAGACGCATTGCCTAGATTTAATCTGCTATCGATATTGTTATGAATGCAATTTTGATGCTGAGCTAGACTAGTTTCATTACATTTTAGGTGTGTTTATTAGAAGAGAGTATAATTGGTTGCAGATACAGGGCGAGGGGCATATGCTGGTTGCTGTGAATCCTGGCAACGCCCTGCTGGTGCGAGGAACCACTCCATCTCAGTACAATGGTCTGATGGGCACCATCATTACCATAGCACGCCAAGAGGGTGTCAGGTATGTGTAAGATTATTATGTAAAGAATTGAAACTTCTGTGGTGAATAGATGTTCTGAAAATTTCTTGGGCAATTAGCGATACCATAGTTAAGCTGAAGACTGTCGTTTTAGTTTCCTGATATGTCCTCACCTCACCATCAGGGTTGGCGTGATGAGCAACTGTAACTCGCTGATATGCATATATCAGTTAGTGATGTATAGTAACTCTCCACATCAACACCGATAACAGATACAGAGAACATTCTGAAGCATAGTGTTTTGATGTGAGTTATTGTGTTGGGCTCCGTGAGATATGTCAGTTACGTGGGGACACTCTTTGTGACAGAGAAGGAGAGATGTTAAATCTGAAGCACTGGTGGTGTTATTCATTTTCAGAAGTAGCTTATCACATTGCAAAATGCTGTGCCACTTGTGATGACATAGCATTGATAAGTAAATAAATATAGAAATATAACACAAAGTAAAATCGGTTAATTTATTATCCGCCCTGATATGCAGCAAATATTTTCATGGTTAACAGCGCAGTACCAACAAGCACATAGGTGTCATGGTAAGAGTTTGAACCTGTGTTCAGAAAGAGCACAGTTTGAATTTTGGTGAGGATGCCGACTACTGTGATTGAGGTTTCTTATTTCCAGGCAAATACCTGGATAATATCTCAATTAGGCCATGCCCACTTCCTTCCAAATCACTTCAAATATATCAGTGATTCTGGCATTCATTGCAGTATACATATACTGTACGTACATATATAAGGGGTGGGCCTTAATATTGTCCTTTGCACCACGACGTTCAGTGATCTGTTGTGCATACTCATATGTTTTTAATCTTTCAACAATCCTACACTTTGAATGAAGTGCAGTCGTTCCATAAAAGATATCATGGCCTCACACCCACATAGGTTGTGTGTGGCTGATCTTCATTGTACCATAGTGTAAATAATGACAGTGTCATAAAATAAAACCAAAATGAAATGGTATACTACCACCAGTTCCACAGCCTCGTTCTCAGATTTGTAGTGTAAGTATTTCCCCTTCCTCAGTTCATACGGCTGGAAACTAGAGAAGTGGACACTTAACCTCTCTTCAGACACCCTCACTGCTGTGCTTTCTGTATCAGACAGTGATTCAGATGTCTGTGTGACTTGGCTTGCTTACAAGATGTCACATGTCCACATGTGAGATGTTGAGAAGTGCTGGCGTGTGTGGGGGGACTGTTCAGGGCTCAGTTTGTGTGCAGGTATTGGATGAGCTCTCATTGCAGGAGCCTGTACAGCGGGCTGTCGGCTGGACTACAACGCCAGATGTGCTTTGCCTCGGTCCGCCTGGGACTGTACGATTCTGTCAAGAGCCTGTACCAGCAACTGCTAGACGGTATGCTGCAGCTATGGCCGGTTACACTAAGCTGTGCTCTGCACATGATGCCACTGGTAGACACGCTTGTTGCTAGGCACTGCATACTGCGATAGTACTTCAAAACAAACCATAACTATCTCCTTCTAAATCCTTTTTAATTCGTTGGCCACAGCATTTGTGTCATTCAGTGCTATATAACATTTTCAGTAGGTATTTTTTTTCCCCTTGGCACTACAGTCCCAGTGGGTCTAGGCCTACCTCCATGAACTTCTCTATTCACTTCGGTTTTTCTAGATCTTACACTTTCGATAGGACTCCTTGGACTGGTGATCAGCTTGTCACAAGGCCTCTACCTGTACACAAACACAGAAAAACGCACACACACACACACACACACACACACAAACTAAACATCCATGCCTTGATTGGGATTCGAACCCACGATCCCGGTTTCCAAGCGAGCGAAGACAGTACATGCCTTAGACCCCTCGGCTACCGCGACCGGCATTTTCAGTAGGTGTAGCAACACTAAATACCAAAATGACAGTATACGAGTAGTTTAGGTTATCAGTGAAACTATATTTTAGCCTATTTGGGAACATCAGCACAGCAGTTTTTGTTTTGGTATACGTATGTTGATGTACACAAATAGGGTAAAATGTAAAGAATACCGATTTCAAGGTTGTGGTGCCGTGTAGAGCTTGGTTCACACAAGATTTACACAGCACCACACCCCAGAAATCGGCGTTCTTCATAGTCACCACTGTGAAAACCTCGAATCCTACACAGGGTAAATGTAGTTTACCTGATAACTTAATGTACATATAATGCAACAGAATGCAAAAGTTAAAGATAGTGGTTAGGCCTCATGCTTCTCTGGAATGTCCTGGACTTCACTCTTGACCCAGAAGTTGTTCTAACTGAGATTTTTCTTGGTTTCCCTCAGGTCCTCCAAGAAATTGCATAGACACACACGGAAATATACACAGCCACTTTCTTCCATGTGCCTCCCACTACCCAGTTCATACTGATCTTGCCTGTTGAAGGTATTTACATTCTGTACTCGACAGATACCCAAAACAGACTCACTGATATTTGAACATTAAGCAGGAGACCACCTGTATGTAGGCCTGGCAGGAGATGCACCTCAGAGCGGCTCCAGAGTGAATCATAACCACGGGATATTTTGCATGTCACTGTAACTTACAACAGGGCAGCATGCAGGGAAACAAAATAGCTGTTAAGTTGACATTATTAACACTATCTCACTACTCTAATGCAGTTCACACCACACCAACTAATGTAGACTCTAAGTTAGGGCTACTAACATGCAGTAGTTCGCTTTGAGCCGCTTTCAGGTAGACTGAATGTAGGTCTGATCAGTAGTGCCAGCCCGTGGCATCATATGCACTTACCTGGGTGACCCTGTTCAGAACTTTAGTAACATAAACAAATCAAATTGTAAAGATAGTTTCTTATTGAAATAACTGATGTTGGCAGGAGTAATTTGGCGTGACTTACAGGTAATCGCAGTGGGGGCCTGCACGTTGGGACCCGGATCTCCGCAGGCCTCACCACAGGAGCCCTAGCCGTTCTACTTGCCCAGCCCACAGATGTTGTGAAGGTGAGGTTCCAGGCACAGCAGCGAGCACTGGGAACAGAAACTGCACCTCGCTACAAGTCCACAGTGCAGGCATACAGGACAATTGCTAAACAGGAGGGTGCTCGTGGACTTTGGAAAGGTGAGCAGTGTCAAGCAGGCAAAGAAACCTGTTATGCAAATGCATTGCTAGGAGTTGTATTTGATATTCATTTCTTGAAGTAATCAGCGGTACTGACACTACACTGCGCAGAGCCGTAAGTTGCATTGCTGTTGCAGCTGGCCAACAATACAAAGTGAAACTGCAATAAGATTTCTTTGGGGAGCAATGGATTTGAGTATTAAAGTAAGGAAAATCTTAAGCTGAGGTAATCTAACACTGAAATTATTGAACTGGTATCATATGAACTGAATTTTAAATAAGGGAAAAACCTTAAATTGGGTTAAAGTAAATGGGGGTTCCACTCTATTTGCATTCTGGCACAAATTTTTTTGTTTATTTTAAGAAATGTATACCATCAAAATTCTTACCAGTACCAGATCTATCACAGATATTACAGAACAGAAACATTCCATTGCTTGAGAGGTCTCTGCAAAATTCTTTTTTCTCTCTGCTTGATACTTTAAGAACTTCTGGTCTCATCACGCCAGTGTGGTCTTTCAAATTTCTTCTGTGTTGTTCTACAAATTCTGTTATTTACATAATTTGTAGTTTTCTCATAATTTCTTGATCTCTCTCACATTCAGAAAGGCTGTATCCTGCAGTCATCTCCATGACAAACAGACTCCTGTCATCAGTTGCTGTTGTCCTCCATTCATTGCCATAAGACATAAGTCATTGTGTCTATACTGCTGTTCTCTGCCTCCACTTTAAAGCAAAAATGAGATTATTGCACTTTTCTGATCCTGTATATCTGTGTTGCACTCTCCCCACATGCTTCAATAGGTTTACCCTACTTGAATGTGTTTTGTGCTAAGTCATATTTAAACTGCAGTTAATTCCTTAACGTCAGACCAAGTTTGCTAAAAACTGAAGTTCATTGTACTCTCCAGTAGTCAGGTGGCAAAGTGTCTTGTGCAACAGTTTTATCTTTCCTCTGTCCTGTTGATGGAAGCTGATCAATTTTCCAAACTGTTCTGTTTGATGGAAACTTGAGATAATGGACATTGACCAATATAATAGTTATGTGTAAGTTACGAATGTTAGCAAAAGGCGAGATTCGCGGTGCTGGTGTGGTCCATCCAAAGAGAGTGGAAGGTGAGTGAGTAGTCCCATATTCCAGGTGGCCATTTTACTAGACAGCGAGAGATCTGTATGCCTAAGTTAATATTCATGTGACTGAATTATTAAAATATTAAGGTAGGTTTTCATGGTGTGAGTGTTTCGATAGTGATATTCTCTTTTGTGACACTGTTTAATATTGTAGGTTGGTGCCACTGTTTCGGAGGAACATGCTCTCTCCTTCTTCAGGGTTGAAGTGAATATAGTGAGGATGCATTCAGGTTGCACAGGCAGGTTTGCAAGGAACATGGTCACTCAGGGCCATGGGGGCAGAAAAGGAGATGGGAACTTGTCTCTGCAAATAGGAACAATGAAGACAAGCTGAAGAAACCAGTTCTTATTATTTGTAACCTGAAGTGCAGAGTTCTCACTTTCCTCCAGAATGGCCCTGAGAAATGCACTGAGCCATTCTGCTTTTGCACTCTAATGACATAACAACATAACTGTTCTGCTCTGTGACCTGTTCCCCATTGCTCTTGCTCCAGTCTAGGTTCTCTCTTGCCGTGAGTGAGCACCTTTTCATCTTGTCTATATAATCTGACTGCACCTTGCCACACTCTCTTCATTCTTGAAGATAGACGCAGTGTGACCCTGTGAAGAATTTGATGTTCACTTGCAATGCTAAACACGTGACAGACCAGTAGATTGCTTTGTTTGTACGTTCACAAATCAAATGTTCCATGACTTGAGGACTTCCTGTGTTAGTATTCCATGGGTTTTGGTAAATTGAGGATGGTCAGTCCACTTCAGCACTGTGAGTAAACCAGTCTGTATGCTCTCTCCTGCAGAAGACACCATGCTGTTGTGTATCCTGCACCATTAGTGGGCTCAGTGGCGCTGCTTCAGGTGAGCAGGGCTTTACTTTTAGACATGCATAAGTCTAAAAAATTTTAGACTGAATTGAGAAAAGAATAAGTCTCTCTTGATCCACACATTGATTTTTCAGCCTCACACTTTGAGAATTGTTGGATAATTGCTTTTGGTTTGTGCAGTAGCATGCAAACTACTTAAGCCATCCAAATCATGATGGTTAGTGCCAGTAGCGGAAATCTTAACATGATGTGTCTCTCCATCTGCCTGCCTCCCTGTCTGTATTATGAAAATTACGTGATCCTGGAATCAGTGTTTTTTTAAGTACAATATTTTCTGAAAAATTTCTCTCATACAAAGAGGAACAATCAGTACACTTTCTGCAGCCTGTGGAAAAGTGGCTGTTGTTGATTGTGATTACAATGAAAAATGTAGCTTACCAGAAGGAATTCTCGTCATCTTCTTGATGCTTGAAACTTTTCCAAATTCTTGTCTCAAACTAAAAAGTCTATTCTTGCACATGCCTCTGTTAATGATGTCATATTGTGTATTGTAACCAATAACAACAAATGTGTGATGTTTGTTTTCTGATGTAGGAACATTCCCCAATGTGAGTCGCAATGCAATTGTCAACGTTTCTGAGATCGTGTGCTATGACATCGTCAAGGACCTAATATTACAGCACAGTCTTATGCGGGATGCTGTGCCCTGCCACTTCACATCTGCTGTCATCTCAGGTAGAGCGGCAGGCCACTGCAGTAATTTGGGATGAAATCACACACTTCAATGATTCAATATTCTATGCATAGAACACTACTAGCTGAAGTACCTCTTCTTCAATTGCGATGTGGTTACTTTTCCAATCAATATCACAGTTTATCATAGCTGAAACTTTAAAGGAAGAATAACGCTTGATTTTAGAAATTGAAGTTTCCTAATGTAATTGTAAAAGATGGCTAATGAGGGTTTGCATTGCATTCAAGGAACTGTGCCACAATACTTGCACAATGCTTTAAGAGCCATGGCTACCATATACTTCATAAATCTTTGGAAAGATTTATCAAGTAAATTTCATAAAATCTTTGGCTGTTTCTGTGAGAAGAGTTACTTGTATATCAGATAGACTGTCAAATATTTAGAATACTACTGTTGCTGATATGGTAACAGTGTTGTGGTGTACAATGGGATAATACAGCGTGTTCAGCTGTAGTATAGACCACAAGTTAAAAATAAGATCAGTATTCATCAGGCTTCTCTGAGTGAAATATGAGATTTCCACATTGTGAAAAAATTGAGATGGTCATTTTTTTTAAGCCAGTTATTTAATGACTGTGAGTGAGCATGTGATCTTCTGTGTTATGATACTGTATAGTCATTCAGATTGGAACAGCTGTTTTGGAGGAGGAAACTGTTTTGACCTGAAGATGGAGGAATATATATTGAGGAGATAATGACTTTTTAATATAGAAATGTTGAAATTCTTGTATTGAGGAAGATTCACAATGTGGCCCTCAAGGTTACAACTTCGCTTAATCTAATAACAGCATAGCCTCCATCTGAAGATGGTAGCGGTGCATCGAGAACATTCATAACCACTAGACAATTGTAAGCCTTGAGATAGCTTGGAATAGATTTGGAGAGGGTGTCTTTTGGGCATCTTTCATGGCTTCATTTTAGTGAATGACATTTGGATGGATGCTTGTATGATGTGCCAGCATCAATCTGTGTAAAGTAATTAATGAAACAAAGTTCAATTTCAGTATGATATGGTTTCTGCCTTTCATGTTTCGAATATTGTCCGTACTACAGGGTTCTGTGCAACAGTGGCTGCATCTCCTGTTGATGTGGTGAAGACGCGCTACATGAATTCCACACGAGGGGAATACCGAAGTGCAGTAGACTGTGCACTGCGCATGCTGGCCCAAGAGGGGCCTGCTGCTTTTTACAAGGGGTAGGTATAAACGCTACTTTTTCCCCATATGACAAGAATTGTTGTTCCAAGGACTGCAAAATTCCATGTATGGCCACTGTCCAGGTGTTTCACTGCTTGACTGCCAAGAAGGTGACTTAACTACCTAATGATCTCACTGACTTGCTATGTGACTAACTACTTGTCTGGGCCTGAGCTGAAACAGTCAGTCAGCACTTCCCCATTGCAGAAGCCTGGGTTCATTCTTAGTGTAGTCCTAGTTGGATTGATGGTGGACAAAGTGGCACCAAGGCAGGTTTTCATTTGAGTGCTAGGTCTTGCCCTGTCAGTTGTCATTCCACAACACTGTACTGGTTGTTAGCAGCAGTTGGTGCAGTTGGTGCATTCGAGGCTGCAGTATGAAGGGACTCTGTCTCACACCCTCCTAAAATTTAAAAAAATAAAACAAATCAGTTGTTTGCTAACTAGCTAACTGAAAGAACCTGCTATCTCTACCTTCCAACTACCTAATCAAATAACTTTGTTTCATAATGAACCCAAATGTTCAACATGACTAACATCAAAGCTTGCCATTCGACATGTTCCTGAGCCAGTTTCATCCACCTCCCATCCTTGCAACTTATTTCTTCCAATTCCATCTTACTAATTAACCGACATTCTTAGAGCAGAATCCAAAGGTTCAACACTGCTAATATCAAAGCATGCCATTGGACGTGCTTATGAGCAGTTCCATCCACCTCCAATCTTTACAATTTCTCAAAGATCCATCTTACTCTTATCCTCACATTTCCTTGTTGGTCGTCTGATAGATCACTTTGCAGGAGATTGCTCTGTCAGAATGTCTGAGTACATGTGAAATGTTTCTTATCTGAACTAAATGTCCAGGCCATTTTACCATTCTTCGTTTCACTGACCTAAGACATTGGATTGTGAGAGTAAGTGTGTACAACTGTGTTACAGCTTCATTCCTTCGTTCTGTCGCCTGGTGTCATGGAACATTGTGATGTGGATAACATATGAACAGTTCAAGCTTGCAGTGATCAACATGCGCCAGGAGCTCAATTGAATGCACAAATTGTATTGTTACATTGTGTTAGCAACTAAAAGTTTGAACTCAAACCAAGAGGATAACTTCAGAAGTTCTTACCAGATGATGTTGGTAGCACGTGTAGATATCATGTGACTCTTGTGTTGGGGATCACAGACTAAATGGGGAATGTATGAGACTTGAGCTTCTCATAGAAGTGACTATTAAGACCACTCTCTTCTGGGATGTGATGTTTACTGATGTTTTGGAGGATCATGCTCCCTCAATATTCAGTGCCAAAGAGAGCCCTGAAGGCTCGTTACCTGGCCTATATTCATACCAATTTCCCACACTCAACTTACTCTGTTTGTTTTCTTGGTGTACTACTGGATGCTGAAGATGCAAAGTGAACGCTCCTCTAAAACGTTTGTAAACTTATACCAGATTAGATGGCTCACATGCAAGAAGATAGTACTCTTGCTGGAGGGGAAGTAACCGGATTCCATTAGAACTAAATATGTGATATTCATAGCAGTTGAGTTTCATGTTGCAGCAGAAGCAGTTCCATAACAACCTATTGTGATATTTCATACTGTAAATTTCAGAATTATTGTCTCGCCAAATGATGTGAGGAACACTAATTTCATTGAAATGATATCCATAGCATATGTTCTCAGTTGTGTGTCTTGTAGTTGGTAAGAGAAGCCTAAACCTTCAAATATGTTGACTGATAATATATTTTTTATTTTATTGTAGGAGTGAAATTATATTATAAAATAAATTTAATTACCAATAATGTCTCATTTTGTTGTCTTAAGGTTACCTACTCCCAATTTTCATCACCATGCATTACCATGATATTGTTCAGTCTTATCTTGAGGTCCTCATACAAGTTCAGAAGAGTATGTGTTGATTATAAGTTATTTGTAGTTATATTTATGGAAGCTATGGCACTGAATAAAAAATGGCAGGGAAGAATGCAGAATGAAGCAAGTCGAGACAGTATCTCAATATCTGCCCTTTTATATTTTCAGGTACCAATATTATCGACCATTTTGCATTAAATTTAATAAAAAAAAGATTTTATTGGAGACTTTACCATCTTCTTAGTTTTCAGTCCCTAACATATAAAATACTAATGTTGTAGTTGAGCAAACTTCTGAGGATGGATAAATATGAAAGAGGAAATAAAGCGTTCTTTACATTTGGGCAAGTGCTGTAGATTTTGGTTTCTAGAATGATTTATATAATATGGAAGAGAGTTCTAGCCAGAGATGTTGAAGTTTTTTTAAATTTGAGGCATGTTTGGAAAGTAACAACCCCATCCATTCCCCAGATTTCTGACGCATTTTTTCGTTGAGGTTATGAAGATGAAAATACATACATTTTATTTTAGAAATTTATTCTGACACTGCATGATGATGAGAAAGTTTAATTATTATATTTATATAGCTAGAAGGTTATATAAAATATGTACAAGTAGCCGGACAGATCAGTTAAGAAGCAACGTTCATGGGGGTTCAATTTCTTTGGCAATGGAATAACTTCATAATATACTGGTCCTTCGACATTAGCCAGAACCTGAGATGGCTGGTGACCCGTCATGATCATAATAACGAAACGACGTGTGCTGCACTCTTCTGGTATATGCTATCGACTATAGGACGGGAAATTTTGATTCACCGGTAGGGGAATGTGACGTTTTCCCGTTGTAATTGTGCACATGTAGCACTCGCACCGCTTCCTTCACTTGTGCCATTCTCGGTCATATCACGAACTATGAGCGATCATGAACACATCAGCAGCTGAACATGTCTGGCTGCTCTGACCGATCATGAGTAACACGTGGGAGAGTGGTGAGGTGGTTGTCGTTCGATTAACTTGTAAGTGAATGGTTGGGACGGTCATGTGAAGTATGGCCAATTCGCAGCGGAGTGTACCAAATATATTAGTAACAGGTGAGCGTTTTTATGTGCATTATCAAATAACATAAACGATACATTGCCTTAATTGGTTGAAGTGACGTTCAAGGTAACAGTAAATTATAACTTTATTTTCTGTAACTTTCTGAATTCCTTTATGGTTAGATTGCCTTTGCGTAGCAGAATCCCGTGTCTCTGTAATGCGGAACAGGACTGTTACACACTGTAGTGTGTGTTTTGGATCGGTTGTGTAAAGATTATTAGGAAAATGCTAGCATTGAATTTTGTTAGCTGGCTGTTAGATTTAAGTTGTATTTCCGGTATGCAGTGTGCCAATTTTACCGTAGGATTGGTCCCATACCAGTCTGCTCTCCTTTTTACATGCAGGAACCCCAGGTGTAGGCAAGTCAACGTTATGTGAACAGCTGGCAGAAAGGACAGGACTAGAGTGGCTTGAGGTGGGGCAGATTGCCAAGGACTGTGAGTGCTTTGAAGAGTTCGATGAAGTGTACCAGTGTCCGGTATTGGATGAAGACAAGGTTTGTAATGAAACATCACTTGGGTTACTGACTTAACTGCATGGTACATGGTATTTGTATCCGGGAATGTAGTCCTAAAAGTACGTGCTGGGGCTGGCGGTCATACATTTCCACATTGAAAGAAATGGGTATAAATCATGAGATGAAGCCATTCTCATTACCTAATAATAAATTTGCACTTTTAAATGCAGAAACGAAACTGCCTCTGAAGTTGGAAATGAAACAATAAGTAGAAACTGTATGTCTCACGTCAGTGTCAAGGTGCCACCATCTCGCTCAGAGCACCAGAGCCCTTTCTCATCTGTGTGTATAAGGTAGTTCAGAAATTCTCTGTTTTTAGCAGATGGAAATTATGACATGTGGTATTCTGGGACTACCCTGAAAGTGGAGGTGGCAGGCTACTCTAAATTGTCAGTACCTGTGTACCAAATTACGTGGTGTCCTATCTCAGTGGGCTGTGATCTTTATATTCTACTGATATACCATAAGTGTAATTTTCTCCATTCTCCCAGATATTCTCCACAGCATTGTTTGTCGATAGTTTGCGATGGATAGATCAGTCTGATTTCAAGGAATGCATTATGTTAGGTACTTTGAGCATATGACTGGGGACATGGAACGATGTTCCTTTCTTTCAGCTCATAGATGAGATGGAGGACAAAATGGGACAGGGAGGCAAGATAGTTGACTATCATGGCTGTGACTTCTTTCCTGAGAGATGGTTTGACATAGTGTTTGTTCTGCGGACCAATAATACTGTCTTGTATGACAGGCTGGGTCATCGGTAAGTAATGAACACACTTTGCCCTACTTCCACTAGTTCATAAGGAAAGACTGGCATATGCTATTGTGTCTGTGTTTCTCTCTCTCCCCATAAACTATTTAATGTTCTAGTGGTCAGAGTTCCTGGCTACAGATCCAGAGGTCTGGATTCGATTCCCGGTGCTATCAGATTTTCTGAGAAGTAGTGGGTCTGGAAGGGGGTACACTCAGCCTTGTGAGCATAATTTTTTGAGCTACTTGAATGGAAAAATAGCGGCTCTGGTCTAGAAAACCGAAATTAACAGCTGTGGGGATCCGTTGCGCTGACCACGCAACACCCTGTATCCACTAAAGTTGGCACTAACTTTGCTGACAAATGCCAGTCGCTTGGTTGGTATAGTTCTCTTGCAGACTAAACCACAGAGTTAGTTTTTTCAGAATGACCATCCTGTGAAGAGAGGAGGCATCTAATTAAATTTTACCCTTTCATGTACAGTAAACCTTCACTAATCCAGAGTAATGGGGAGAGGTCATCCAGATTAAGTTAAGAGATAATCTGGATTAGTGAAGCAAAAGGTGGCAAAAAGACTTAGAACACAAATAAATTGAGAATGTAGTGATAATAGTTGTGCTGTTGATAATAAAAAAAATATCGCCATAGAGCCTTTACCTAAAAACTACAGAAAGACAATACATTTATTCATCGCTCGGAGACCCAGAAGTTGTACTTGTTTTTGAATGTAATAATGCGGGTTTGAAGAAACTAAAGTTTTGTCTGAACAGGCAAGTAACTTGCCCACCTTCCTAAATGGTATGTGTGTTTTGAATAACTCTGAACAACATTTTTAATTTTTCATATTTTGATCCGGATTAACTGCAACCAATTTATCGGGGGTTTACCTGTATGTAATATATATGAAAAAATACTGTGATTATGAGTGAGAATATCTCAATATTTTGATGGATTTACACATTCTTAGGCCCCCTGATTGTGAAAAAATGGTGTGTGGAATGATGTCTGCATGTATGGATGTGCACCCTGCTAGTGCTCAAGTGACTGGAAGACTTTTATTCACATTTGGTTGGCAACCATTGAATGTGAACATTCCAGCTCCAAAAATAGGGGCCTTTCAAATAGGCCCCGAAACACAGAATTATATAATATATATATTTTTTTCTCTCAAAAATGGCTCAAAAAATTTTGATGAATTTTGATAGTATGGATTTATAGCCATAAATATAACGACATGAAAGATATCCTCAGAAAAAGGACAATATGCACATCAGGACCCAAACACAAAATGTCAGTTTTCCCAGAACTGGCTTAACTGGTCAGACAGATTTCATTATTGTAGTTTTCAGTGACTGTCATTGGTCTATCAAGCAATGATCAGTTATGTTTCTAAGGTAATGCAGTAAAGGTTAGTTAGTTGTATATCAGGAAAAGGTGGGCAATGTCTGTGCCCTGATTTGTAACTTTGGAAACTGGGCTGTGGGATGGATAACCAAAAAACAGATTTGGATTCCAGCAGAGGCAAAGATTCTCCTCTCCACAGCTTCCACACTGGCCCTGGGGCCCACCCAGTGGCCTATGCAGCAGTGGGTAGAGCAGCTGCAGCGTGAAGCTCACCACTCAGCTCCAAGTACCAAGGTTAAGAATGACTGGAGCTGTAGCTCTACTCCCACATACTTCTTCATAGCAAGGGACAACTTTACCACTGATAATCCAACATGGCGATCTTGCAAGCTTCTGAGTTGGGGGAACTTTGCTAGGATCATGTAAAGAATTTTATGTTGTAATAGATCACTGTAAAATCTTATTTTATTCCTGGTCGTCCTCCTCCATTGTGCCCTCTTTATATGGGCTGGTGGATGACTTCCCAGTCTTTCTGTTGAGAATGGTCATGTCAGAAATACAGTTTGTGTAGTAACTGTTTTGTGAAATGTCTTGCTGGTGGCACTACCGAATTGTCATCTTGTTATAGTGGCTACACTGGGAAGAAGCTGGAAGACAACGTGCAGTGTGAGATATTTCAGACAATATTGGAGGAAGCGCAGGAAGCCTACAAGATGGACATTGTACATGAACTGCCAAGCAACACACCCGATGACATGGAGGAAAACGTGGACAAGATTACAGCATGGGTTGAGGAGTGGAAGCTCAGGGCACTCAGCTAGCATGCGACTTTCACCCATCTAGATGCTTCGTACCATTTGCATTTAGCATAAACTGTATGTTAGTAAATTAATGCAGCAGTTCATGTAACACTTCATCTTACAGGCAACAGAATTTGTCACTCTTATTTTAAGGTTAGGTTGGGCACCTGTTCTGACCTCATAACTGCTTGCTCTTATCTTCCTTTGCTGTGCAGTCTTCATATCTACACAAGTAAAGCTATCCCTATAACAGGCCATGGAGGCCCATAGGGTTGTGAGACATCAAGGCTCCCACATTTTCTAGACAGTCGGCTTATAGATGGCGGTAAGGTTGTCAGCCCAATGCACCAGCTGCCCTTTATCCCCAAGAATATTCTTGGTACTCATTTCTGTTAGAGGCTGAGTCGACCCTAGGGTTATAGTGCGGCTGGTAAATTGAAAAAAATCCAATGAGCTCATCGGGATTCAACCCCACAACCTTCTGGCTTGTAGCATAGTATCTCAACCAATTATGCTACTGTGTGCCCCATGTACACAGTTCAGTATTTCTCCTAATGAATATGAGATCTGCTATATCTTTCTTTAATCATCCTTATCAGAATATAAACACAAAAACAACATAAATATAGCATAAGAGGGAGCTGTGTATAAAGTAATAATCTTTATTTCTTAAGCAATTTGACATGAAGGCATACATTGGTTTGGAGATAGTTTCATGGATTCTAACTTTCATTCTCTGAGTGCTTTATACAGAGTACATGGCATTAAGATTGAACTCTTCTTAACCACCATTTTGAGAATCTCAAATCCTATGAGGGAGAGATTCTTGTCTTTGCCAAGAATCAAACCTGGCTTGCAAAATAAATGACATATACAGTTACAAAAATGTTGCTCTGCACCCTTCCTTTGTGTACGCTCTGTATCTAAAGAAATCTGATATGCTGCATTATCCAGCAGCTCAGCGCTTCTGACTGGCCAGTCTGATTTGCTTTTATCTCTGAGTTTCTTCAGTTTTCTTTCACTAATCACCAGTCCACCATTGTTGCATATGCATCTGAGACATATGATAACCCTGCTAAGCAGAACGTTATCACATCCTCAGCCTCTAAGCTGGCAGTGGCTTTATCTCTGACCTGGCTACTTACAGAGTAAGAAGTTAGTTAATTAGGTTCCTATAGTTGTAAATATTAGCCCCAGCTGGATGTGGGATTACAAGAAGAGACTGCCTCTGTGGTCTAGTGGCCAGAGGTCCCAGGTTCGATTCCCAGTGCTACCAAATTTTCTGAGAAGTAGTGGGTCTAGAATGGGGTCCACCCAGCCTTGTGAGGATAATTGAGGAGCTACTTGAATGGAAAAGTAGCAGCTCCGGTGTAGAAAACCGAGCATCTGTTGCACTGACCACGTAACACCCTCAATTCGCTAAAGTTGGCACTAACTTCACCGACAAGCGGCGGTCGCTCAGTCAGTATAGTTTGCTTGCAGACTAAAAGCCATGGAGTGTAGTTTTAGTATGATCTTCTGGGATGTGATGCTGCATGGTCGTAGAGTAAGCTGAGAAAGGAAGCATGTCTTAACTTCTGCTGGACTACATGATGCCAACCCAGGAGGTTAAGATTATGGCCTTGTAGTATGGCAGATAGGTACTAACATATCTGAGGAATGTGCTGCCTCCACATTCAGGGGTAAATTCTGTCACCTGGTATGCCAGTACGCATGCAATTGACAAAACAATGTACAGTCAGTCCTCACACTGACCACAAAGTTAACCAGTGTTGGGGCTATTGGGGTTAAGCCTTTATCATCCACATGTTGGACTGTTGTGATGGCATTATGCATGGGTCCATCAGGCTTAATATCACATTTTTTTAAACAAATACCCCCCCCCAAGTTAAAATCTGGCACCATAGCAGTGGAATATTTTAAATTCCCTATTCCTGAATAAGTAAAATTCACAAATTTCTGCAGCATTACTTTATTCGTCTGTATGTTCAGCTTTGAGTACATGTATACTATGACTTAAAACTCATTCGATGCCAGCCTTCTGCTTTAAATCCTTGATTCTAGCTGCAATACTGGAATAATACTTCATCTTCAGCAACACTTGCTTAGCGGCATCAATGTCTCCCGCACGGAAAGCCTTCGCAACATCTCTGCAAAAATTATAATATTCAAGTAATGAGATTCATAATTTATATATTCTTCCAGAACTTTTAAGTTTGTTAGGATCAGTACATAGCCCAGTCAAACCTATAAGCTCTGGAACATGTTATTTAATTATTTTCTGTCATATTGCTTTGTCTTGTTAACAGTCCAGATAATGCTGTGTGTCCCCATGTGCTGATTCTGTTGCCTCCATCGTCCCTGCTACTCTGTGATTCCATTGGTAGAATTACTGGGGTTTTGGACTTTTTGCATTGTCCAGAATTCTAGGTAATAGAGGACACTTAAGAGTGTCCAGGGTCCAAAACCCCAGTAATTCTGTGTCATCCACCATTGTCAGAAACCTTTAGGATCTACGTGATACCATTGGTGTTTGATCATAGAGAATTCCTCCTTTGTTTTTAAGTTAATTTAGTGTGTTTTAATTTACTTTCTTCAGATGTGCTCATTATACTTTTTTTTTTTTGGAAGTTATGAATAAATCTGTTTACACAAGGAAAACTGCATATTGACATATTGAAGAGCTTAACAATTTTTGCTCATCATGAGAGCTGCTTAGTGTGATCAACTCAAGGATGATGAAGTGACATAGTGCTTTTAGCATGCATGGAGTAAACTAAGTGAATGGAAAATTTTGGAAACAAGACTACTTGGGATACATAAGTGTAGATAAGACATTAATATTAAAACTGATCTTAACGAAAACAGTCTGAGGTTTTGGATTGGATTCAGCTGGATTAGAATAGGTGCCAGTGAGTGAGCTTTTTTGAATATGATAATGAACCTTTGGGTTCTATAAGAGGCAAGCAAAAGTTATGAAATATGTTAGACTGTTGTATTGCTTTCTTAATTAATAAATTATATTTACTGTCTCAGACAAGCTTCTATGCAATTATTACAAAGTATAACGCCTTATTCTAACTACATGTTTTGCTGCAAGATATATATATAGTAGTCTGACAATGACCATTAGGGTCTACACACACAACTAGAAGAAATCCGACCACTCAGTTATCCAGCCTGTAGCTAGTCACTATACCAACTGAGCTATTCTGGCTCTCAGAAGTAATAAGACACTATGTAATTTATAGTAATAGTAAGCTGACTGTGAGAGACAATATATAATATGTTGAAGTTAACTGTTCATTTTGAATGCAATAAGACTTCAGAATGAACCTTGCCTACTTTGTGTCTGTAGCATTGACATAAACTTGTACATCCATCTCACTTTGTAAGTTTGTCCATGACACTCTTGTTGGCATTCTCGAGTCTCCTCACGTCATGAGGATGCTGTGCTTCAGCCAGTTCTTCATTTGTCTCCATGATCTCGGCCAGGAACTGAGGGTCAGTCTCCCTTGTGTCTTCATGCAGGTTAATTCCATGCAGGTGCAGAATGTAGAGACCTCGAGCTAGTGGTTGATGCAGGGTCGAATATGCCTTGTTCACCAGAGCGGAGTACTGTTCCGATATCTTACGTTCTTCCTGCATTATATGAAATTACATCAGTAAAAGTTCAACATTCAGGTACTGCTTGTGGCAATTCAGTACTAGCAGGTGACCCAAGGAACTTCATAAGTTACTCTTTTATCAGCCACACTAACATTGCCAACTGTAGAAGTGTGTTTTTATCAAAGCAAACCCCTCTCTTTAACCTTAGTTTCTTGTTTTATATTTCTAAAAATAACACCACAAACTCCATCTTGTGGATTTAGTGTTGGAGGCAAATTCTAAGATTAGGCTTTAGGTGCTGTTTTTACATGTTAAATTCTAGTTACCTCATAACCTGCCAATATAGAAGTACCCTACTTACAATTCGAATAACGGTATCTGCAGCGTAAAAATGACCAAGGTCTGCAAGTCCTAACAGCATTTCTGCCTGAGAAATTAGCAGAAAGTAGAAAGTAATGGAACAGACTCTGTGGAAGTGAGTGCTATATAATGAACACCAGATGACCAAATGGCACCACATGAATATTAAAGATATATATGCTTATAAGAGTAACTAATGACGTGCATCTTATGTGAAGAAGCCTACTGTCAAGGAGTAAATTAACCAGGGGCATAAATGCCCTTAAGGCGCTAGGTAAGGAATCTGCAAAACTAAAAAGTGGGCAATGTCGCACAATGACCATAACCTGGCTCGATATGGCAGGAACAGAATAAGGCATGGCTTAAGGCGATTGAAGTTATACCATCTTACCGCATTCTTCACACTGAAGCGATCTGGGTGAAGTACGTTCTGTAATTGGCGATATTTTGTTGTGAGATCTTCATCTTCTACTTCGAAACCCTGTTTAATGTGTAATATATCGAAGTAAGTCATACTTTCATCCGGTTTCTGAAGTGTGCTGCATAGACTGCAAAATAAACTGGAATTCTGTATCTCTGACCCACATTTCCAGCACTGGTGTTGAATATAATTACTACAAAGTTTCCTACATATCGTAAGGAATTTCGATGTCGTATGACAACCCTGCTTATGTATGTAATACGACACTTCCTTTCGTGACCCTTCCAGTCCGGAAAGAATTCGCAATTTGCCGAACGCCTGTGCCAGCATATTTTAAAATAAAAATATCCGTGTCAAGCTCTTTAGCTCGTGCATTACGCAATTTCCTTAAAATACTAGCAATTATAATTAAAGTTTGTGAACGCATGAATGTTCTTTCGCCACCCGCGCAAGCTTCTTGAATTATCATTTATGTAATGCTGGTAGACCTGGTAGATTGCGGCATAATTCCCAATTTAGTTTATCATTACTATTATTTTTCTTGCGTTTATTACGTTCCCTCTCATTCAAAAAGAACTTAATACATACGTATAGTGCCAATAATAAATAAGGATCAGGCAAATGATGTCATGTTTACAATGGGGCTCAACATACGCCTCAATGTATGAGAGTAACAGAGCCGACAGAGCGAAACTGTGCTCCCGATGAGTATAGACGTTCTGCAATTGTATGTGAACGTACCTCATAGGAACTTCTCCAACCAATCAGCGCACGACAACACAAAGCTTACAAATGAAAGGCTACTTAGTGTTTTCGCCGGTTGTCAGCCACGTCTAGTTGAATTTTGCTTTCCATTATTTCAAAGTGAGTGAGTTGTAAAGTGTCAGAATGTTGAAGTCTGTTTTTCTGTATTCATTATTTTATTTCACGCTTGCTGCGGAAACTGACGTTATAGAACTGTCGGATGATGATTTTTCAGCGAGAATTTCAGAACATGAAACTGTCCTTGTCATGTTTTATGCTCCGTGGTAAGTTCCCACATGCAGTTTAAAGATTGCGTTCACGTACGTGGTATTATCAAATCGCAGAAGTTGCTGTAAATTTGAGTGAAATGCACGAGTCATTTTTTTTATGATTAATCATACATGTACAATACTTTTCTCTTAGGTGTGGGCATTGTAAGAAGCTGAAACCAGAATATGCAAAAGCAGCAGAGCTTATCAAGTATAATGAACCTCCGGTGTTATTAGCCAAGGTGGACTGTACTGAAGCTGGAAAAGAAACATGTAATAAGTTTGGTGTTACGGGCTACCCGACTCTTAAGATATTTCGAAATGGAGAGTTCTCACAAGAATATAATGGTCCTCGAGAAGCAGGTGAGTTTTAGCTTTACATTTTCCTTCGTTAACTCCATTCATATGTTGGAATAGATGCTAGATTGGTCAACGGGTTGTTTTAAGTCTGAACTGAGATTTGTTATTGATCTGTTAGCCATGTACACATTTTTGCTGAGTAGTAGTAATAGTTGAAGGAAATAGGACAGTGGGAAGACCAAGGTTAAGATGGGAAGAATGTGTGTGGCAGGACATAAGAATTTTGGGTGTAAAGAACTGGAGGAATGTAGCATCGAATAGAGAAGAATGGCAAGCAATCCTGGGGAATGCAAGGGCTTACAAAGGGCTGTCGTGCAATGATGATGATGATGATGATGATGAGTAGTGATAGTTATGCTGTATACGAAGGGGGACCCAAAAATAGCCGGAAACGACCTGTTGCGCGCGCATGCTTTATAGTTACGAGTTGTGCTGCTAGGTGGTGTTAGCTGGGGGTCTCCCGCGACTGTTAGTGAGCTGGCGTCAGTCTGAGTTAAGTGGTTTGTCTGTGGTGCTCTGTTGTGTGCGTTCCTGTTTCAACCCTTTGGCGATTAGTGAGATGGCTGACCAGAAGGAACAAAGAGTGTGCGTGAAATTTTGCTTTCTGTTAGGGAAAACTGCACTTCACTCTTCAAGTCGCGGCAAACATTCACGCGGTTTTCTCTTTGGTCATCTCCGAGCAAGCGAGGAACAAATTTTGCAGACACCCGTCTCATGTGCAAACCTTCGGTTAAAATTCGCTGGACCGTGCTCCATGAGATGTTCGTTTCCTCAGAAAGTTGGTCAATGGTCTTTCGACGATCTTCATCAATTTCACGCACACTCTTTGTTCCTTCTGGTCGGCCATCTCACTAATCGCCAAAGGGTTGAAACAGGAACGCACACAACAGAGCACCACAGACAAACCACTTAACTCAGACTGACGCCAGCTCACTAACAGTCGCGGGAGACCCCCAGCTAACACCACCTAGCAGCACAACTCGTAACTACAAAGCATGCGCGCGCAACAGGTCGTTTCCGGTTATTTTTGGGTCCCCCCTCGCATGTGTGTGTATGTATTAGAATAATGTTGTGTTGCCATACCAGCATATATACAAAGAAAATCAATTATAAGAGACATTACAGGACTATTTGTATAGTGCTTTGAATGGATGAGGGAGTGACAGAAAACGGCCACAGCAATTGGTTGTCCATATGACTTTTTTAACAACAGTTGCTGAAAGTCTGTAAATAATGGAGGAAAAAAGAAGTTTTGGAATGAACTAATGCCTGCTTTATTTTTATATCACACTTACCTCATAAGGAACCATGTCTCCAACAATTTTTTGTAACATGTTTACCCAACTGTTGCCTAGCAATAATAGGGAGATGCATAATCCAGTCCAATCCAGTTTAATAAATTGCTGCTGGCCCTCTCCAGCACGTTGATTCTTGGTTTCAAGTCCCATGGGACTCATGACAATCTTTACTCTCTCGTGTCTGTGGGAGCCTTCAGGCCACCGCTTTGTCAGTACATATACAAAAATTGGGGGTATGCAGCAGACGTACACTCCTCTTTCATGTGACACCATCCATATAGAGAATGACATGCTCAACAATTCTTCTATTGTTGCGTGTATTCATTACTGCAGGAATGTGTTTACTGAGCTGTTGCCTACCAATGATAGGGAGATACATATACAGATAGACAGAGAGACTAATGGGAGGGATTTATGAAGTACTTTGTTGAGATGGGTTCAGGTGTCATGAAAAAAAAAACAAGTTACAAGTAGATGATGGTGGGGGGGGGGGGTAGCATAGTTGGTTCAGGGGCTATTCTACAAGCCGGAAGGTCGCGGGTTCAAGTCCTGATGAGGTCAGTGGATTTTTTCAGTTGACCTAATCCTTCCAGCCGCACTATGCCCTGGGGTTTACTCAGCCTCTAACAGAAATGAGTACCAGGAATTAATTAAATAATTTTCCTGGGGAGTAAAGTGCAGCCGGCGTGTAAGGCTGACAACCTTACTGCCATTTTTGAGCCGATTGTCTAGATAGTGTGGGACCCTCAACATCTCACAACCCTATGGGCCTTCACGACCTGGTACAGGGATAGCTTTACTTTTTTTTTACTTTTACAAATAGATGGTTCAGGCATTCGGAAGTTGATAAGGGGATGTACAGGGAGCAAAGTGGCCTCACAAGCCTACTTTTATTTTTACAAATATGTTCTTGGACATTATCAATCCTCTAAGACCACAATCCTGTTTATTTTTCAAAACAGTGTTTCGGAGACTGGATTCTGTCTCCGTCTTCAGGTAAAACCTACTCATTTGGGCCCAATCAATAGAGTTAGTCCCTATCTCCAGACATCTGTGCTAGCCCCAAGGTGTGGTATACAAGACAAACACAGCACAACCATCTGCAAGAGCTAAGAAAACAATTTGGTAACATTCCAAACGTGTGAGGCCTTGCACTAGAGAAGTATCTTGATAGAAATCATCACTGGAGAGAAGCAATACTCCTTACGGCAAAAAAATAAAAAAAAATTAAAAAAAATAATCCATGGTTTCAGTCCACACACGAACTATACCGACCGAGCGACCGCTACTTGTCAGTGAAGTTAGTGCCAACTTAAGCAGATAGAGGGTGTCGTGTGGTCAGCACAACGAATCCCTACGACTGTTAATTTCGGTTTTCTAGACCGGAGCTGCCATTTCCTTGAAATAGCTCCTCAGTTATCCTCACAAGGCTGAGTGGACCCCGTTCCAGACCTACCACTTCTCAGAAAAAATCGGGTAACACCAGGAATTGAAACCAGACCTCTGCATCTATAGCTAGGAACTCTGACCACTAGACCACAGAGGCAGTCCTGATACCAACACAAGAAAAACAAATTTTCCCACTCAAACTATACTTGATGGAGTTATACTTTCTTGACTTCTGCTGTGATGACAGGGGTCCATATGGGAGAGAGATCCGCGCTGGGTTGACTGGTCAGATGGTCTATCAGGGACATGTGATGGATTCCTTGTATTTCCTCTTATGTGGTGTTTGGTTCAATCTGCAAGACCTTCACTTCATTCCAGCATATTTTGTGGCCATCTTCGTGTGAATGTTAGGCTAACTTTGATTTTTCTAGCAGACCTTGGGTCAGGTTATATTGGTGCTCCTTAGTGCATACTTCTAAATGTCTGCTTATTTTGCCAGTGTAACATCTGCCGCAGTCGCATGGGATGCTATACACACACTGCTTCGTCTGCTGGTTATCTCTGACAGGTCCAGTTTTCATCAGTGTCCCATGGAGTCCGTGTTTAGTCTTGAATATGGTTCCGAGATTGAAATGGTTCCTGACATGCCTGAATTTCTTGGAAGTGCCCCAATATACTCTGTCTGAAGAAGGACAATTTCTTGCCAATGGCTTCATTACAGAATCAACAAATTCTTTTGTATATTCACTGAGCATCAGATCATGTCTTGTGTTTTTAATTTCTTTCCTAAAATCCTTCTGATTCTAGATCTTATCTACTTTTATTTCTTTTTGAAAGTAAGGAAACTAGGCTAGAAAGAAGTGATACATATACTGAGAAAAAATATTCTATAACTGTGATAATGTTTGTTATATAGCACCAAAATTCTGTTAGGAAAATAATGTGCATAATATTGTCCGATTCAGTGTTGAGTGTGAAACATTATGGTGGAAAATGTGGGCCATGTATGGCCCTAAGTTCTTGCATAAGTAACATACAGTAACACACATTCATGCACTTATTGGTGATGACCACATCCAGAGTTTGGTCTCACTCAGGGCACTAGCAGTCCTCATGAGATTTGTCAGGTTCTCCTCAGTGTTCCAAGCATTCTGAAATAGGCTGCAACCGCTTCCTGTCTAGTTTTATTTCAGTTCACTGAACATAACAGTTAGTCAGACTATTGTGAGTTCAGATGTTACTTGAGGGACTTGACTTGCTATCCTTTGGGATATTACAGTTAGAGGCAATGGCTAATTTTTAGTCCTGTCCCTATTTTGAAAAAATTAAAGTAGGCTTATGAGATCACCTTGCTGCCTGTGTGTGTTTTTGTAATAAAATAATGTGAACAACAACCCTGCAAGTACAGCAAATGCAGAAATTGATGTCTGGAACTGTTTTGCAGCTGGCATTGTGAAGTACTTGAAGGCACAGGTGGGTCCAAGCTCTCGAGAGCTTTCTTCTGTTGCTGACTTTGACGACTTCATCGGCAAAGATGATGTTGCAGTAGTAGGCTTCTTTGAGAAGGAAACAGATCTGAAAGGAGCTTTTTTGAAACTTGCTGACAAATTGCGTGAGAGAGTTCGTTTTGGCCACTCTACCACAAAGGCTGTGCTAGAGAAGGCAGGACACACGTGAGTAGCAAGCCATGTTTCATTGGATATTTCGTAGTTTCAGCCAATATTGGTTATTGTTGCAGAGTTCAGGATTATGGGATTTGTCCATTGTGTAGTTTTCTGAAGAACAGAGCATTTTGGAAACGATCTGTTTCCATCCTCAGGTGGAAGCAGAATCATCTGCTCCTTTGGGTACATTAGGTGGGGATTATCTCATTTGCTGGCTGGACCTGTGATGGCTCTTGCTAACAGGCCAAGCTGAGTAGGTGCATCCCCACCCCTTCACTGAGGACAGAAACAGATTGTGTTTCTGAAATGTTGTGTTCTTTCCAAATAATAAACAATGGACAAAGTTCAAGAACACTGTAATCCAAAATGTAATACATCAGTGACAGATCCTTGTAGAATCGACTAGAGAAAGTTGTTCTGAATTGCTGTCATTGCATCAAATGAACATCCTTTATTTCTGAAAGCCTAATATCAGGACTCATTAAATCTACATTTCTGCTTGCCCATGATGACTGAAGACTCAAGGCTGATGATTGGATAAATCATAAATAAACCATAAATAACAAATAAATTTACAGTAAGAGAATATGAAAGTCCGTGTTATTTTAAAATCACAACCCAGATTTCCCACTCCTGTATATTGTGTGTCTGATAAGGAAATGCAAAATTGAGGGGAATTAAAATGCAATGAAATATACGATGAAGTCTTCTCAGGTGATAAGCCAAGTGAAGCTGGAGTTAGCTGGGGGAACTGGCAGTCCGCACTGGGACAGGGCATCACTCTTCCCTCAACAGTCCCTGCTGTGACATGTGAAGTCTTCTCAGGTGATAAGCAATTGAAGCTGGAGTTAGCTGGGGGAACTGGCAGTCCGCACTGGGACAGGGCATCGCTCTTCCCTCAACAGTCCCTGCTGTGACATGCGAAAGCATGGGCACAGATACAACGTGACTGTCATTTCATCACATCAACCCCAGATGGAGACAGTTTTGATAACCGACTCCATCTCTTCACAACTGATTGCTACTGAAGACTTTATTGCATAGAGTTGTTGTGAAAGCTTCAGAACGTACATAATGAGATACAGTTCAGACACAAGTTTTTTGTTGTTTTTATTTCAGGGATGCCATAGTACTGTTCCGACCTAAACACCTGCTTAACAAGTTTGAGCCAAACTCGGTTACATATGAGGGTGCTAGCAAGAAGGAAGATGTTGAGTCTTGGATCAACAAGAACTAGTATGTATCTGGGGTGATGTGTTGTACTGCTTTTGACAGTACATCGGTGATGTTGTTCTGGATGTTGTAGCATTTTAGATCCTGGAAGTTACTTGTTGGGCCGTGATCTAGGTTATGACACTGTGTTTTCTTGTAAGTGGTTATCAACATTTTGGAGGACCTTGCAGCTACAATTTTCAAGGCTGAACCCTTGCCCATATTTTGTTGTAAAGGGATATTACAGCCCACTGCGAGCTGTGATCTCCAAGATATAGGTCCAGCCATCCTTAAGTTTTGTCTCAGGAAGGAGGTGAGTGATCAGTGGCATGCCCTGGCTGTTTTATCCAGGGAGGAAGAGGGTACAGTACTCACTGACTGGGAGATCGGCTGGGTCCCAGAGCCAGTCTCGACGTTGCAGTGAAAAGAAGGAATTTCCACCCCTACCATGAATTGAACGCACATTTTCTCGTTATCCAGCCTGTAGCTACTTACTGTACTGACTGAGCTACCTGGCTTATTGTTGGTGATGAGTACAAAGTTGGGGTTTCAGTGGTTTTATAAAGTGTGCTCATGAGCAGGCAGCTATGCAGGGCCACTGTCACATTTAGCGTGTCTCTAATCTCTGCATTGGTAACACTGTTTAAACACATTATATGCAGAACCCAACTGCTGTTAGTTTCTGTGGGATTGGCAGTAGCAAACTAGGCATTGAATGACACAGAGCATTTCTGGTGTGTGAGCAGGCATCGCAGTGCCCGTGGCTAAGAGTAGACTGATATGTAGCAGCTGCAGTGACTAACAGTGGGAGAGGCAGAGCAGTAGGGCAAGTTATACCTTGAAATGGGCCACACTGCTTTTTCCAACTACACCACTGACTCACCGATCTCTTTTTTCTCTTCACTGCTTTGCCAAGTGTTTCAGTTGGCTGCAACACTTTTCTACTCTCAGGCTCCACCATTTTTCATATCTGTGTATTTTTGCTTGCATTCCTTCATTTCGAGGATCTGAGTTCCATGTTTCCAATGTTATTTCTATCTGGAGTGCTGAAGAGCCAGTGGTAACGTGTCCACTAGCTGACTTATTGACAGCCACCGGAATGCTATCCACTGTTGTCTTACAATTTAACTTCATAATTTTTAAGTCTGCTGGAATTTTGTGTATCATGAAAGTATGGAATTGTGCTACTTCATGACAGTTTGTATGATTCATCTCTTTTCAGTCATGGTTTGGTGGGCCACCGGCATAGAGACAATGTCAATGATTTCACACCGCCCTATGTTGTTGCATACTACAGTGTAGACTATGTAAAGAACGCCAAGGGAACCAACTACTGGCGAAACCGCATCCTCAAGGTGGCCAAGAACTATGCTGATAGCACCAAATTTGCTGTTAGTGCAAAGGATGACTTCCAGCATGAGCTGAATGAGTACGGCTATGACTACGTGAAGGGAGACAAGCCGGTCGTGTTCGCGCGTGACGCCAAGAACCAGAAGTACGTCATGAAGGATGAGTTCTCAGTGGAAGTGTTTGAGCAGTTTGTTAAGGATGTGGTGGGAGGAAAGCTGGAACCTTACCTCAAGTCTGAGCCCATTCCAGAGGACAACAGCGGACCTGTGACAGTTGCAGTGGCCAAAAATTTCGATGAAGTGGTGACCAAGAATGGAAAGGACACATTAATTGAGTTCTATGCACCCTGGTGTGGTCACTGCAAGAAACTTGCCCCAGTGTATGATGAGCTTGCGGAGAAGGTAAATGTCTTTGTGTGAATTTGACTTGTTTCACGGTACTTAGCATAAAAGTCGGTAGTGTCAGTGATGTGCCTTTTGATAGTATTTAAGCTCTGTTTTTTTGTAGCCTTTGTATTATGGAAGTTCCTTGTTCAGTTCTCAGCTCGAAGACTCTGCCTCTGTTGTAAGATTGAAGTTCTCATGACAGGGGCTTCTGGGTTGTGATGCCATCGAATCTGTTAAAAGTTTAGTGGTGCAGCTCTGAAATATCACTAGATTTTACAAGACAACATGTAATCACATCTGGAATGATGTTGAGACATTGCCATGAAACAAGTGGAACTGCTTGTTTCCAAATTCTCTCCACTTCACCATTCGTCCAGGCCTACAGTGTCATCTAATTTATGTAGTTAGTATTGCAGCACATCTGTTATGAGCACATGACGGAATAGAACATTGGCAGAAAGACAATTGGCACTAGAAAACCAAAATATTTTGGGGATCGCCTGCCCCAGTGCCATTTTTGACACCACAGAATCCACATGTAGTGCTGAGGTATTGATCGTGGGCCTCCTTAGTAAAAATCGTGTAACCAGCTGTCTGAACCATGACACAGTCATGGAAAGTGGTGTATTTATTTATCTAGCTGTGATAAATTAACTGACAGGGCTGTACATTAAGATACCTTGGGCTTCAGAAAATGTGTAAGCTGTCTGTTTCAAAATTTTATCCCAGCATTGCCAGAGTTTTACATGTCATTGACAGAATACAGGCAGCCATGAAGCAAACACAGTGCTTTGTACATTGAAATATTATTATAAACTTCCCCATAACAGATATGTGTTGCTAATGTTGGACAACACACGATACTCTGTCTCTGCTTGGCAAAAAGAAAATTGTTTAGGGGTTTTCTGTAAGAAATCAGTGACTATTTTGTGCGCATGCTCATGTTTTTACTTTAAGGAATTATGACAAATACAATGATTTCAATGGCAGTAGTACATTTAGCTATCTTGAGCAGAATCCATTTTGAGAAACTAGTACTTGGGCAGCTCCTGTTGAAATTCCACATCTTTTACAGAACCTGAATATTCAGTACCACGTTCAAAAGAGTCACAGAATTCTGTTGTGAGTCCAATGAATCCAGTCCACATACTCATGTCCTGTTTGAGATCCATTATGTAGTCTGGTCAAATTGTTTGAGATAAATGGTTTGTTCTGTTCTAGCAGACATCATTTCTGGATCCCTGTATGTTCTGGTCAGACAGGATATGATATGTGGAAGTTTTATTTAACTTTTAAATTGAGTGACTGGTGAGATAGGGCTGTGTAAGGATATTTTTCAGGAGTATATTACACTGAGTGGGGTTCACACATTCTTACATTTGGAGGAATAACAGCATGATCTAAATGAAGAAATCTCATACAGTAAAATCCAATCAGTTGGGCCTGTCTCCACATGCAAATTTACTGTCCATTTTGGGATGAATCATGAAGTTGGAAATTTGTGGCCAGATTCACACTAACTGTACCTTGTGTGTGTTTACAGCTGAAGGATGAGGATGTTGCGATTGTCAAGATGGATGCCACCAACAATGATGTGTCTGCTACGTATGAGGTTCGTGGGTTCCCGACCCTGTACTGGGCTCCCAAGGACACAAAAGATTCTCCAGTTCGATATGAGGTGATTGCTAGTTCCTCTGCACGTGCACAGAGAATCAGAATGCAATTCTGAAGAGGGTTCTGTTTTGCTAATGCATCAAGCTCGTATTCCATTGCAGTAACATAGTCGGTTGAGGAACTATGCTATAATCCAGGAGGTCATGGGTTCAATTCCCGATGAGGACATTGGCTTTTTTTATTGACCTAATCCTTCCAGCTGCACTATGTCCCTGGGTCAACTCAGCCTGTGACAGAAATGAGTACCAGGAATCTTCGTGAGGGTAAAGGGCAGGTGGAATGTAAGGCTGGCAACCTCACCACCATCTGTGAGCCGATTGTATAGAAAATGTGGGAGCCTCAACGTCTCACAACCATATGGGCTTCCACAGCCTGTTGGAGGGTTTCCCAGTTTCTTGATTTGTCTCTGTCTCCAGTTTGTTCTTTTTTGTATTCCATTTTGCCAGGTAACCACCTCTCTTGAGATCTCCTGATAGGTTCTGTTTTGTTTGACTATCTAACATGGCTGAACAACTGTAATCTTAATTTTCTCACTTCCCTATACCTTATTTCATCTTCCGGCTATTCAAGTGTTGCGCTGAGTAATGTTATTACATACCAAGTGTGTAAGTATGGTCTCATCCTGTTATCTTGCTTTTAATTAGCCTATCTTGTTGCAGGGTGGCCGCGAAGTGGATGACTTCATTAAATACATAGCGAAGCATGCTACAAATGAATTGAAGGGCTGGGATCGGAAAGGAAAGCCCAAAAAGGAGGAGCTCTAAGTGAGGAGAGTGAAGTATTGCATAGACACCGTATCTTCCATAAAGCAATACTGCAGACAGTAATGCCAATACATCATTTAATAGATTTGCTGTAAACTATTTTTGGTTCATAGAAGTGAGATTGGTGACTGTAATTGCAAAATAAAGAAGACTGATCAGTGTTCATGTCTGTTCTGACAGATGCACAAGGATCACCTGTTTCCTGTTGATCTGCTATAGGCGAACAAACAGTTGTGAATAATATACTGTTGTGATGATTGTTATGTTGTCAGTGTGATGTTATGGTCGAGAATTTTTGTAAGAAATATTATACAGTACTTGGTTTTGCAAAGTGTACATTATGTTTTCCTTCACTACAGCAAAATAAAAAGAATATTTAATACTTAACAAAAACTTAAACTTTCATCAGATCAAAAACATGAGGGCTCTTTTGAAATCATTGCAGATTACTTTCCCAATATGATGGATCTGTAGTTACAATCGCTGGACCTTCCAGTAAGTTGCAAGTGGAATACATGCCCAAAATATTGCATTTTAGTATAAGGTATTGAACATCACACCATAAAGATGTTTTGGGGAGTGAAGGTATAGCTCTATATATTCTTGACCTCTGTACTAGTTTGAATTGAGTAGTCAGCTTCACTCCCCAGCTGCTCTACCCATGGGGAAACGGTTCCCAGTACTCACTGGACAGTGGGCTGCACACTGTGGAGAAGAGAAAAATCTGCCTCTTTTTGGAATTGAACCTCAGTTCTCTAGCTGTCCAAACCGTAGCTATCAGTAGTCCTCAGCCTTACTAGTGAAGTTTGAGTTCATACATAAATGTTGGCCATTTCCGAATGGTCAACATATAGAAACCATCTAATTTATGTTCATATCGTGTTCTGGGTTGTGACACTTTTAGTCAGGTGTTATCCATCTGTTCTGTGAACAATGACACACCATACCTTGTGTAGGCAATCTAATGGAATAAAAATTCTGTGGAATTCCCCCCATCAATATATTAACATCAAAATCATGTTGAAAACAGAATATAGTAACCCACTTCTCACAGTCCCTGTGCAACTTCATTGCTGTCTTAAAATTCACACTTCAAAAGCATTAATCTCTTGCTATTACTCAAACACTATATGTCTTGGCCCAACTGGTGATCATGATTTTAAAATATTGTATTGAATGTATTTTATGCCATTAAAAACTACATGAAATATTCAGAACAGCTACATACAGCACCAAAGAAAAAGCAACACACCCAACAAAATGTAAGTAACATTACAATTGCAGTGATAGAAGAATTGCATATATTCACTTTATAAACAAAACTAATATAACCTGTTATTTTATATATATTACAGATATGCCAGCCCCACAACATGTGCATACAACAAAATCATCACAGCATGATATTTTATAAATAGTTTAAAATATTTTGTGTTTTACAACTCTGAAATGCAAAGTGTGGCAGTCTCCTCTGCAACCTATACACCTGATGGTGGCAGCCACATGGACTACTGAAACAGTGTTATAATGGGAAGAGATAGTTCCACAGGGACAGTAAGAAATGTGAGTGCTAATTTAGAGTACATAGTGCAACAGGTTGCTGTAGTGTAATATTAGAATCTAATGACCTATTGATGTAATGATGTACCTTGTAGGAGGAATACACTGCCTTCAGCTTTATGATTTTAGTTGGAGGCGTGGTACTCGTGTGCTGTATGCAACAGTGTCAAGTGTCAGATACTAACAATATAAATCTTCATTGCTGTGGAAGCTGAGAGGAGAGGGAAGGATGTCTGGAAAAGGGTGTGCATGGTGTGTTCTCAGCAGCAGATGCTACATGCCGTACTCCACGATTCTCTGTCTGCCAAACATGTCAGTTGTCCCACATATACATGTGTGCCTGGTATATCTTTATAAACTGTCTTATTTGATTTTAAGAAGAATTAGTGCAAATATATTGAAGATGCCTTTCACAGACATACAATGTTTGTAAGATTTGAGGCTTTCACGGCGGTGACTATGAAGAAAGCAGTCTTCTGGGATTTGGCACCGTGTATATGTGGTGTTAACCGACGTTTCGGAGGAACTATCGCCTCCATCTTCAGGGTAGAAGAAAAAGTATAAGAAATCTGCAAGCGACAAGACCTTTACCGTTCTCACGGTCTTGTCGCATGCAGATTTCTTATACTTTTTCTTCTACCCTGAAGATGGAGGCGATACGTTCCTCCGAAACGTCGGTTAACACCACATATACACGGTGCCAAATCCCAGAAGACTGCTTTCTTCATACAATGTTTGCTTCAGGTTTCCCATCCTCACGTACCTTTGTGGACGTTCTAGAAAATATGTTAAAATACTGTGTAGATGGTGTGTTCTTGTATGCTTTATATCTTATTTGAGACAACAGGATGCAAACTATTAAGGAAATATTCCAGCATATATCCAAGATACGAGGTGTAATGTCTCCTTTAAGTATCATATTATGTTTTTGAAGTACTGTACCAGAATGCAATTTAGGGGCAGTGTTTATGATCAAAATAAACGTCACCTTTTATTATTAACATATACTGTTGTAAAGGCAAGTTACGCACCTTATCATCAAAGAGGGTGGTTAATGCGTGGCCCAGTTCCAGTTATGTCCGAAATTATTTCCAGGGTATGTGTATACCTAAATTTAAAAAATAATTTCTAATTAATGTGAATGTTGCCTGACAAATGTCATTGGTATAATTACAAGTATTACAAAAACAGCAAAAATATTTCTAATATTATGAATGGATAGGTACTACGAATATATCAAATTAAATCAGTAATGAACACGAAATAAGACAGCATTTCAGAACGCTAGTTTACTGTCGGGGTTGCTCTTCGACCATGAAGATCGTAAAGACTATGCGGTATATTCCTCTGGAATGTCGGTCGACTTTCATTGTACTGCACGCGTTTTATCCCAGATAACACTAGTCAGGTACTTGGTTTGCTTTGCCTAGCGAAGCTAATGTATAATTGTTATTTTAACAAGAACAAGAAAAGTAGTGAAAAGGGTTTTCAAATTTGAAAAGTTAATTTCTAGAGCTTCTGGAGGAACGATGTAATTATTTCAAACTCCTTGTCACCAGAATCAAAGCGGTTTTATATATTTTCTTTAATGACTACGCGAGACAACCGATCGTGCGGGTAATCAAACGGATGAAGATATATGTATATGAAGTATGAGCGTCGAGTCGAATGCCATTCTGCAAGACTTGTTGATATTTGATTTAAAACTATGTACAGAATTTGTATAGATATGGAACTTGGTTCCTACTTCGGTTTGCTGTTATTGAGCTCCGGCGTCAAAAATGAATTGCAACTTTTCACGTCGGCATTATTCGTTCCAGTCCTGTCGTCCGTGTTTTGTTTATGACCGTAAAGCCCGTAACAGCGTTGAAGTGTCAGATTGTCTAATGTGTTTCACCCGTGGCCCCCGTGCAGTACTGGAGAGACGTACCGAGGTTAACGTAAATTTGTTTTAAACGTACTAGAAGAAACAATATCGAGAAAGGAAGGCGGTAGGAGTACTCGGGGCACCATTTTTTAGTGTATATCAGTGCTTGAGCGTCGGAGACCAAGACTAATAATCAAAATGACTCGTAAGTAAATAGACTTCAGTGAGAGGAATATTCATATTAGGAGAATACTTTTCGTCAGGTGGTGTTGTTAGGGGTTTATGTAAGTTCATAATTAATGATTACGGTTTTCGGCATTAAGGGAATGCTCAGCCGTAATAAGTAATCCATGTTTGGTGTGGCGAGCGTACTTAATTTATTTCATATTGGTGAGTATCATGTAAATTACCTAAATAAAAACCAGGGACGGAGTGAATAGCAATAGCATTCCGCTAGGGGAAGTGATATCTATATTTAACTGTCATTTAGTTTTATGAGGTAGCAAATTTTTATTGAGAATTACTTTCGTGATTGATCGTGGAAACCATTTTACTGGTAAAGAGTGAAAGTGAATATTTATTCAAGGTTTTGTTGCTTGCTTGACCTGTCAAAACACAAATTGGAGAGAAAACAACTTTCTATATATATATGGAATAAGAATAGAGCGAAGAAAAATAGAATGAAAGCGTAATAATAGCAATGGCCTACTTGTTCGTGATGATCTAGGATGTTCCAATTTGTAGGTTATGGTTGGTGCATTTAGTGAGGATTATGTGCTGTGAAGAAAACATATAATGTATTTCGACCAAGAATGGAACGTATCGGATATAATTTTAGACATTTTACATCGTAGTTATAAAGGAAAGTTAATATGTGAATTACAATGAGAACTCAAGTATGAATTAATATACCATAATTAGGAGTTAACAGTGAAATCCTGGAATCGTTGTTCCATTCTAATTTTCAGTTATGGTGCACAGAAATTTTAATAAAGTTATGAAATGTAATGCATAAGGAGGAAGACAGTATAACTGACCTAGTGTCACATCCCAGAAGACAGTAATTTTCATATTCACTGTTGTGAGAATCTCAGATATCAAATATTACATTCTTATGTTTTATATATAACGTGTGTTCACCCGAAATCTTCATGCAGAAGCAGCTGATACTGTTAATAGATTCATGCAGTCCTCAAGAAATTGGGTGTTTGCTGGAAAGTTATACAATATGGTTGGCTTCATAATTCCATCTTATGACTTAGACCGTTCTTGCAGGTGGAAACCAGCGTGAGTTGGCTCGCCAGAAGAACCAGAAGAAACAGCAGGAACAACAGAAGAGAAAGAGCTCTAATGACAAAGACTCGAATAAGGGACTGACATTGGAGCAGCGCAAACAAAGGCATGTTTCTGGAAGGAATGCTAGGTAGTGCAGTTCATTGTGGTTTGCTGTTTAGTTGAATTGCAGGAGCTAGAGGTTTGTACTCTGGTAGGAACACTGGAACTTTTTCAGTTTACTGGGTCCAGGATGGTTCTGGCACCGAGCAAGCCGCTTTTCCAGTCTGTATTGGAACCCCTACTTCTTGATGTGGAGAGGGCCCGCATTTTGTATACGCTTTGTAGGCACAGTGGAAACCTTTTGAGGGGTGGAGGGTCCTGTGTGAGAACTCAGAACTGTACAAATTTAGCTGACAGCAATTTTGGGTCTAAAGCATAGTTGGTTGAGGCACTGCGCTACAAGCCAGAAGGTCGCGGGTTTGGTTCCCAATGAGGTAACTCAATTTTTTCAATTGACCTAATCCTTCCAGCTGCACTATGGGGTCGACTCAACCTTTAACAGACATGAGTACCAGGAATCTTCCTGGGAGGTAAAGGGCGGCTGACCAGCACGTAAAGCTGACAACCTCACAACCGAATGGCCCTCTATGGCCTGCTACAGGGATAGATTTACCTTTACCTTTATTGTTACCAATGATTTTTCCTTCAATTTTGTCACTCATGTTGTAGTTTTTGGGTCCTCTATGAAAGCGCCAAGAAGGTTCATAAACTCAGCTGCAATCACTTATTACCAAATCCTTTCCAGTTCACCATTTATCTGCCATCGTAACATTCAGTGCTATGTAGTCGAACTTTTGGTAGCATCATAAAATAACCCACAAAGAAAGGAATATATTCTTTGTTGTACAGTGAAATTCTAATTTAATGAAACGGTGTATTTAGAGGACATTTCTTCTCATTCTGAGACTCAGTATTACATGTGGGTACATATTTATGGGTGACCCAAGTAATTTCAAAGTCTCACAGCCGTGTTTTCTGCCTCATGAGTGTGGCTAACCGTAAAAGTTTATTTGTAAAAATAAAACCAAAATCCTGACTGTGCAGACTTGTCATTAATTAATCTTGTATTGTTGACAGTGCTAAAATGCCAATAAATTATGAAGTTACTTGAGTCATCCATTAATAAATGAGTACCAAGAAATGTACTGCTTTCCGATATTTAGTGAATTTCAATTTAATAAATAGCCTGCATTTAGTGAAAGAAATATTCAAATTTCTGGAACTTGTACCTCATGATAGTGGCCGAAAGAATAGCCGGTCCTTACGTTTCTCTCTACTGCAGATGGTTGCTGCTTCTCAACCTCTATCTTTGGTTAGTGACTTTACGCATTGAGCATGCACTGAAGCTGTGTGGCAGTTGCTTTAAGTCATGAAAAAGGTTTTCTTAGTGTTTATTTCATATTTCATTAGTTATTTTAGAAATTAATTATATTATTGTGTAATTGCATTTATTTGTGTAAAACAGTTTCTTCAATTCTCAAAATAAATTATTTAAGAGTTCTGTCTTCCGAGGTATAATGTGGTGTAGTCCATTGAAAGTCGATCAGTGTTTCAGAGGAACATGTCAATTCCATCTTCAGGAAGCAGAGCTTCACACTGATTACTTGTTTGGGATACACTTTGACCCTGAAGATGGATGGCACATCTTTCTGTGAAATGTCAATTGACTTACAATGGACTGCATCACATTATATCCCAGAACACAGGGATCCTCGTTCCCATGGCTGTGAAAACCTCAAATTCTATAATAAATTGTTGAGTGTGATTGTATGCAGTACATGGTGTGAGAAGGAGGACAGAGTCTTTGTGTAATTTTGCAAAACCTTAATTTACTGTACACTCGACTTTACTGCTGTCAAGCGTATGACAGCTGAAGCCATACGAGTGTGCCTGAGATATGAAGCAGAGTGTGTTGAAAGTCAAACTTGAGTTTATAACGTACATATGAATTACATGCAGAAAGCCAGACACCAGTAGACACGAGTCAGGGTGGATGGTGACAGCCTCACAGAACCTTCCTCTTCTGCTCAGTTTGGCCCACTGATAGGGAAAACTAAGGTGATATTCACTTTCATATATTTTAAAATGTGCTGTGAATAATTGCAACAGATTTTCTTAGGATGACCATCTGTGCCAGTTCATTCCAATCCTATTAACATACTGAATGTTCTATAGTTATTCCTAAATATGTTTCAATACATCTTTTGTCAGAGATTTTCCATGTGCTGTATGTCCAGCCCATCATAATTGCCATTGTCAAGCAGTGATGCTTCTGGCTTGTCTTTGGTGTGGGTCCTCCTGTTTGAATCTTGGCCGGATGCTGATCCTGACTGGGCTTTTTGTGGCTTTCCTCAGTCCTTCCAGGCAAATGCTGTAATAGTACCTGGAATAGGACATGACTGCTTCCTTCCATGTCCTTTCCAATTCATTATTCACTATAATCCTGTGATTTGACACTATATAGTAAGTTACTGACTGCATTGTTAAAAGAACTACAGAATACTCGACTGTTCTTGTATGGGAAATTGTAAGTGAATTGTGTCGATGTTTGTGGAAAGAAATTTAATGGCCATCAGTGGCGACCCTCAGGTTTGATCCTTGTGTTGCAGGGATGCAGACCTGATGCGACAGAAACAGATGAAAGCCCAGAACAAGGACCAAGCTGCTGCCAGCTAAACTGCTTTGACTTTGGATTTCAGTTTCTGTGTTATGTACGCTGGCAGGGCAGGGAGCAATGGACTCTAATTCACGAATCTTGTGGAATGCAATACGAACCTGGTCACTATTGCTGAAATTCAGCCAAACTGTAAACCACACCAGTGAGACTGCTGAACTCTCTCCGTCACACATCTATTCTGGTTTGAGATCGGAACTGGAGTAATTGTAGTGGATGAAATCTTGGTTGAATTCATTTTGCCTTCAAAGTGAATTTTGTTGGTGAATTTCAGTTTGTTCAATATTTAAGTAATAATAAGTCCCTGCCTTAAGAGAAACTGTTGCATTCATTTTGCTTATTTTAGTTCTCTGCTTGTTATACGTTGTGTAATCCTTCCTGATGTAATGATGTGTGGAATAAATCCAATTGTTCAACCATCTCAGTGTTTTAATTGTTTTGTTCAATGGTGCCAACTACAGGAATTATTTATATTCTGTTTCATTGGTAGAAGATTGTCACTTTGAGAGTTAGTGTGTTCGGACACAACTCGTAATCCAGCAGTTGGCGGTGATTTGTACTGCACATCTATCATGTCTAAAGTAATATAAGTTTGTATTAATTTGTAGCAAGTGTTGTAATGTCAGTGTGTCCTATTAAGATGGGTTTTCACTTCAGTTTTACTCTTCTGTTTAGTTTGTGTCACACTGAACAGTTGGCAAGATGCTGACATGACTGGGTCAGAGTGTTGGGGTGAGTCGGGGACTCTGCCTGCACAGGTCGCTGGCCGCGTGGGTCAGCTTGTATTGTGACCACAGATAGGTGGCACTGAAGTAAACTTGCAGATATTTAAAGTGCATGTACTGAGAGTCACTGTGTTTGTTTAGCGAGATGTTATATCCCTTTATAGTATAGAAGAAGCCATCAAAATCTTTTGCGGTAATGAGGCTCAAGGCATTCCTGAATGTGCAGCAGGACAGACGGTCAGTGCACCACGGTATTTGTTTTTGTCATTAAATTCAGTTTATGGCAGAAATGTGCTTCTTGAAGCATTGTGTATGGGAAAGTATGGTTTATGCTACAGAGAACTTGATTGCTTTTATAGTTGACTCCATCTCAATGAAGGTATTATGGTGTAGGTTGCTGGGTTTCAATTCCTGGCTGAGGGAGAGTTTTCAGCTTGTTCTTCCCCTCATGTCGGGGCACGTGGTAGCGCAGTTGGTTGAGGCACTGTGCTACAAGCCAGAAGGTTGCAGTTGTAATTCTCAATGTCACTGGATTTTTCAATTGACCTAACCCTTCCAGCCACACTATGGCCATGGTATCGACTCAGCCTCTAAGAGTAATACCACGAATCTTCCTGGGGGTAAAGGATGGCTGTTTAGTGCATAAGGCTGACAACCTCACCGCCATGTGTGAGCCAACCATCTAGAAAATGTGGGAGCCTCGATGTCTCACAGCCCTATAGACCTCCACAGCCTGTTATGGGGATAGTTTTACCCCCTTCTCTCGTGTCTAGAGAGTGCCTGGAGTTTTAACAAACCCCACCATCAAATGAGTACCAAGGGTAAAGAAGTGGGGCATGAAACTGACCATTTGCTTTGCATCCAATGCTGAGGTCTGGAGTGGTGTAAACTGCTGGCCCCTCTATACCTTTACTTATAATTATACATATGAGGGAAATTGAAATAGTAAGGCAATTTTTTATTTATATATTATTAAATCTACAAATGGCAGACAAAACCATTTTTCAATGTAAATCCCCCAGTTTTCTCTGAACACTCTTAGTACACCAGCTAGCGGCCTCTGTAGTCTAGAGGTAACGTTCCCACCTCATGACTCGTAGTAAGCGGGTTCAAACCCGGTGGAGGTTGTCGAATTTTTAAGGGCGGAGAAATTCAGGGAACAAGTCCTCCGGGAGGGACTTTAAGCCGTGGGTCCCATGTCGTAGCTTTACGGCACGTAAAAGAACCTCATATCTCTAAAGAAGATCACTGAGCCAAATTACGGACGTTTCCCGCCCAGCAGCAGTCTCTAATACCTCTGGTAGATGGGGGACGCATTATAGATACCTCTCAGCTAGTAGAGCCGGTCTCGCTGGCTGGGCGGGACTGATGGTAAGCACCAGTACCGGTAGGATATAGAGGCTGGTATAAATCATAGAGGGAAGCACAATGGACCAATACAGGTCTAAGTGCATGGGGAAACCCATCCTCTCCAATAACTAACTAACTAACTAGTACACCAGCTTACTGATGTTTGGCCATAACATTTTCAGTTGCTTCTGAAGCCAAGCATAAACTGGCTCTTACAAGTCTTGGAAATAAGATCCAAGTAATGTGCTTTTAGCAGTCCAAAAGAAACTGGCAGACTCTTGGAGTGAGGCCCAGATTATGCGGTGTATGAGGAAGAAGCTGAAATCCAAGTTTTTGAATTGACTCATAATCAGACCATGGCATATTGCTGGTCTGTAGTACAATCTGAAGGTAGAGTCAGCATGTTCACACTGTGGCTGCAGGGAACATGCCAAACCTGCTGACATGTACTCAAGAGTTAATTGGCATTACTTTTTAGATCAGCCTCGTACGTAAGATCTGAAAGTTTCACTGCAAGTAAATGCAGTGACTGGTCAATTCTTTGATATGATTAATTGCTGATGTAGTAGACAGTGACATTTTTTAATGGAAACTCATTCCTTCTTGACTTTTTTTTTATTGCTAGTGGGGTGGGACTAAGTCCCTTGTAGTGAGGCCACGTCTGGCCTATTGTACCAGCCCCAGATGATAGGTGAGGGTGATTGTGAAGCAATTGGTGGAATGAAGATTGGCAGGGGAAACCGAAGTACTCAGAGAAAACCTGCCCCAGCGCCACTTTGTCCACCACAAATCCCACTTGACCAGACCCGGTATTGAACCTGGGCCGCTGCGGTTGGAAGCCAGTGACTAACCGCTTGAGCTATGGCACGGCCCTCCTCCTTGAGATGATTAAATGCCAGAGAAAACTTTATTATGTGGAAATATATTTTGTGTATATCTGTGTGCATGTGAGTACAGTTACACATGTATCCTTCAGTAGTTTCCTGAATAGGAGCTAGCAAATGCATGTCTTTATCACTTGAGACGAATGCTACAGGCATGTGCATCCAAATATTGATTGATGATTGTACAGTTTTCCTAATTTCAGACAAAAATTTTAGATCTTGTGATACAAAGGTATCCTCTTAGTGGAATGTGTAGGTAGCTTTTGTTTGTGTCACTTGTATAAAACCAAGATGACCTTGTGCTAATTTTGGTCATACTAACGATGCCATTGATTAGAACAAAGTCACGTTATTGACGACACAGTACAAGAGCAAATTGTTAGCAGGTACTTGAGTGTTGCAGCTGTGTTACGAAACACTGTGTTGCTTTAGAGTAGGTTAAGACTCCAGATATTTTTGGGGCTCATTTTGAAAAGTATTGTTATGAGTGGCTGTAGTTTGTCGGTGACACTTCATCCATGTGTCACGGTTCTGATGTGGCTGAATACATTTGGCTCAGACTTGATATCTTGTTTTATATGGGTGTGAAACCTGGTCCCACACACTATGCGAATCACATAATTCGAGGGGATTTAGAACAGGGTGATTGTAAGAGAGAGGAACTAACTGGAGGATAAACAAAATTATGGTAATCAAATCAGGGGTGATGAGATGGGCTCAGGTATGCAGCGTACATGGTAAAGATGAGAAATACATACAGGATTTTAATCTGGCTTCAACAGAAGAGACTATTTGGAAGATCTGGAAATAGGTGGGAGCATAATATTAAAATGAATATTAAAGAAAGGGCTGTGGATGAGGTTTTATGAACACAGTAATGAACCTTTGGAATGTTATCAAATGGGATTTTAGGATCAGTGAGGCAGCTGTAAGCCTTACAATACCCTGAGTCACTTTATGAATATTTATGATGAGATGTGGTCTAGAGGAGCTATGATAGGTCTGCCAATAGAATGATGGGCAGGAATTCAGTGCTTGGAAGGTGCACTGGAAGTCACCAGTGTTTCCAGAAAATTCCAGAGACTCTTTACCCTTGGGTGCATGTCCTGTTGCCTGTACTTAATTGTGGGGAGCTATACAGCATGGGCCTGCATGGTGTCATGGCGTATTGCTAATTATAGGTGTTACTTTACATTAGTGACATTTGGAGCGCCATGTTTGATTTGAGGTTGTGACAGTATTGACTATGGAAGTGACATCTTCTGGTATGCAATGCTGTGTAGTCCAATAGAAGTTCACAGCAGCCCTCTGAATTCCCAGATGCTTTGTCTGGATTGCCATTTTAATAAAAGAAGCCTGAACTTCTTGAAGTACTACTCCATGAGCCATGTAGTTTGTTGTTCATTCTGTACAGCTGTTTATTACTGAACTGTCTTCAAGTTTAATCATCCTGCTAAAACCGTGGGAAGAGTATAAGCTATAAAGATCATTATTGCAACAATTTTATCAGTTCTTTTCATGACTCAACTCTGTAGGTTATCACATACATTCAGTCTTGCCTTTTCTATTGATTTAACTAATGCTGGGGAGGTTAAACCAAGAAGGTTATGATTGTTTAACACACACAGGATCCACAGGAGAGTAAAGCTATATAGACATTCTGGTTTGGAGAACTCTCACTAGAGCATGATATAGACGGCAGGAAGGTTTCTATGTTGTACTCCAATGGACATGTTCTGTCAGCAGAAGTCGACACTGCATCACGACCAAAATCACATTCTGTAGTAGGAGCAGCAGCGTCAGTAGCACTTAAGAGCTGGGTAGAAGAAATAACTGGTGGCAGACCCTGACATGTAATTTTCAGAGTGGCATAATGAATTCTCCAACTGAAATTGTCTTTTTCATTGGTAGTAAAAGAATTAGACTTTGCTATTAATAATAGAACTTCAGAACATAGTATTGCTAGGAATGCTTGAGAGGCATAGAAAACACTTCATGAAATGCTGGGAAAATCCCTGTGGTTTCTGAAACATTCATGCATAAATTAACTGGTCAGATTTAACTATATTCACTCTGGTCCGTCACACTAGTTAATTATTATAGAATGATTTGACAGTACCGTCCAGTGTGACTCAGTATAAATTTATATGATGCCTTTACATGTTTCGGTCAGTTGTGACTGTCTTCAGAAGGCAATAACAAGCTAATGAACTGCTATTACACAGATCATAGAACATGAGCTTAAAGAGTTTTGTATATTTTGAATTAAGTCAAAAGGTGTTTAAATTAAAAATATATTATTGTCCTTAATATTTAAAATCTTGAACTGCCAAGGTTTATGTCTCTGTGCCTCTTATGTCAAAATGGGAAATTGGGGTGCTATTTGCTGTCCTCTGAGGTCCGGGCAGCATTGCTCCCCACTTTTTTATATACTAACTTACTTACTTACTTACTCACTCA